TGCCAATGGAAAACAAACTCGATTTTAGAGACTAGTCCTAATTAAGCGATTTTGTGCACATCTATACTTAATTTTGCATAGTAGGTTTTGTACGGATACTAGCGTTTTCGACCAGGGGGGGTGCAAAAATTAGGCCTGTAGCCGTAGTAGACATTATTTTAAGAAGATGACAGTTAAAATACTACGTAGAGCTAAATCATGGTCATTTGAGCTTCCTGATGATCCTTAAAATAATAAAATATCTGCAAAATCGCTAAGGACCAATACTGTGTCATTTTCAGAGCCCTTCTGCCGGTAAGTACTATCAGTACTAGTACTACTAACTAGTAAGCAGTACGGAGGCGTGCATCAAAAGTCTTCAATATACGCTAACTAGGATGTGTGAAAGCTAGCCCTTCCTGTATTAGCCTATTAATAGTAGCCGAGGGGGCGTAAGGATGGTCCGGGGCGGGATAGCTCAAGCTTGGCTGACATAGGCCTGTAGGTCACCTCAAGCCACCTAAGAAGGGCCCTAGCTGTCTCTAATTAAGGGGGTCATGACAGCGGCTCTAGGGCTCTATCTCAATAGCGCATCCTTTACACAACGCTAAAGCTTAGATCCAGTGTGCTAGTAGCACTCTAATTTTAGCGTATATTGAAGACTTTTGATGCACGCCTCCGTACAACTCACCCGATTCCTCATCAATATTTTCGACTCACTACAATGGATTGAAGGACTCATCCAACACAACGTAAGTTGCAGGTATATGTTGAGCAGCCGCACTCTGCATCTTCAAGCGGTATTCTGCGACCTAGTCTCCGATCTTTGTGCCTTCTCTGTGGTCATGAATGTGCACCAAAATCCCAAAACCGTATTTCCATCTCAGTAGCCCGTATGAAAATCTTTACCAGCTCCTCTATCCTCGCAGGTGACTGCTTGCAGATGCTCGACTCGATAAGTGCTGGCACGTATTAGCTAGACTTCTTACTAAGGCTAAGAGCCATGCCCGCTCGTTACATACCTGAGCCTTTTCGAACTGCCTCCACGTAGTCATCTGCAACATAGTTTTCAATCCATTTCCAGTATGGATTTCCCTCTTTCACGCTGTCAGCACTTGAATGAAGACGCTGAGCGGCGGCGCCATATCCCAGCAGACAGGGGGCGAGCGCCATCTGAAGAGCGAGCCAGTCTTGTGATTGCCCAACATCAAGCACATATCGGCTGTATGCTACGCAGGCTTGGCAAGGTCAGCCATTGTAAAGAAAGCTGGGAGAAATTGTCACCTTGGCTCTCCTTCTGTTTCTCTATATCAGAGCGTGATAGTCCGAACTGTTGGCAGTAATCAAGGTGCAAGGACATCTCCCGTTCGATATGCAGTACGATGTGCGCTGACTAGAGCTATATGAGCCCAAAGTTATCCTTCGCAGTGTGGACTGAACTTACTGCTGATATGGAGTCCATTGATGTGCTCTTATACGCTGCTAAGGCGTTCGTTCTTGCAAAGTGAGTCTGTATGACCATCAGACCTTTCCCTTGGCACAAGGGAAGTGACTTACAAGATACAAGTAGTCCTGAACGAGATAATTCTTGAATAGGTCTCTCGGCAACGTGCCCTGGGCCAACTGCTGGACGAATCCGTGTTGCGTGTAACTGTTCCACACATGCCTAACGTCTGGCCTCTGAAGAAGAAACTCGATAAATCGTCCACTGTAGAGTATCAGCGAGCACAGGAGAGGATGAATATGTAGCTCAAGACTTACGGTGCAAAGGGCAAGTGGTAAGTGGAATGGAAATGGTTAATAGGTCCATTTCCTCTGCCCAACGTCTTGCTAGTCGTGATGCCCGCCTCGACGTATCTGCATGCATTTCTGACTGCAGCCGGCAGTTCCTGGTCGGAAGCTATGTTCGCAGCAATCGCCGATGCCAATGAACAACCAGTCCCGTGTGTGTTCTTTGAAGTCGAGTATTGTGCTTCGACGAGAGTATAGTCGGAGCCATCGTAGAGGATATCCACAACGACGGAAGCATTGTCGTCTGATCTTGGCTTTGTATAGTCTTTTGCTAGCGGAATATGGCCTCCTTTCAGGAGTACTGCTTTTGGTCCAAGACCATGGACTTGCTTCGCAAGGGTCTTTGCCTCGTCTAGGTTGCTAGGATTCTTAACGTATTCATCGGCATCTCTTAGTAACAAAATAGCTTCCGGTATGTTGGGGGTTAGTATAGTGGTCACAGGGAGCAATTTTTTTCGTAGTATTCTGACCGCGTCCCCTGGCAGGAGCTGAGCACCACTGGTCGACACCATCACCTGCGCGTCTCATGAGCTCTTCTGGACAGAAGGCATCCCACTTATTGCAATTTCATAACATACAGGGTCAAGAATGATAGATTTAATATCATACTCTTGTAGTGTGTCTGCGATAACCTCAATGGTTGCGGCCGATGCTAGCATTCCTTGACTCAATGGCAGGTCAGTCTTCCAAAACTGATCTCCTCTGCAGCACGCATCGCAGCTGCATGGAAAGTTCCATGGCTGTTCGAGGGCTGGGCGGCTATAGCTTCCTCATCAAGTACGTACCCATCTTGACGACATCGCAACCAATGTCGTCCATCACTTGCCTGATCTGCTTTCCCACGAATTTTGGTGGCACAACATGTATGTCTCCGACACCGAGCGTGTTCTGTGCCGTCAAGGCCGTAGTAGCAGTCATCGTGTATATCTCATGGGCAGCAAGGACCCTCTGGTCAGCTTCCAAACCGGCTCCACCGGAGGAATCCGACCCAGCGATGACAAGTACTCGTCTAACTGACATGTTGACAACTAGGCTATGTGCGGTTATACCGAGCAGGATCATCCAGGAAGAGCCCTTGGAAGCTGGACGAGGTTGTTGTACAGCGATGGAACGTCATCACAGGAATTGATGCCAAGGTTTTTATTTATTGTTACCGGTGCACAGAAAAAGACAGATTCGATAATCTTTGGAAGGCAAGAGTATTTATTATTTTACCATTTGATCTCGTGAGGTGATATACCTTGGGCTACCATATCTACTCCTTAAAGATCCTCCTTTACGCACGTCAAGGCTGTTACTTTCGACCATCATTCTGTCGAATCATCTTGATCTTGAAGCTCCTGTTGCCTGTCAAGACTCTGATCTTGAGACCAATCAAGGCAGTACTGGCAAGCGTTAGCTGACACTCTGCTGAAAGATGCGCATCTTAGAGTGCATGAGGATCCGTTTCCGAGGTGTTACGAAAATCAATCCGGCTGGACGGTCATACTCGTGAATTACCAAGTTCGAGATAGAATTCAGCGCTTGCCTGCTTCATACGGCATTATCCTCGCAAATAAGCGGTCCGACTCGAGCTCAGTCGTGACCATGACTACCAGACTCTGGGCGCTTGGCTCCAACTCATCAGGACAACTAGGCGTTGGTCATTACGAAGACGTCGACACACCAACACCATGCAGTTTTATCCACACCCAAAGCCTCTATGGTACCACGAGCAGTGCAAAGGCCCACATGGAGCAATCAGACGCCTTGAGATCACCTGTCCGCAAGATTGTGGCAGGTGGAAACCATACCATTGTCCTCTGCGAAAACGGTGCAGCGTATGCCGCTGGTAATGGAGAAGCGCTCGGCGAATGTGTTGATCTCGCATCGCACCCTTCAGTCTCTGCTGAGCTGAGCTCTCAAGACCTGACACCATGTTTTAAAAGGGTAACGTGGTGGGAGAATTCTCAGCTACTAGATACTTTCGTTGACGTTTCCGCGACATGGACCGCGAGCTTTTTCGTCACCCCGCCCCAAACTCAGGATGGATATGTTGTCCGTCTTGGTCGAATATATGTCTGCGGAAAGGGCGAGAAAGGCGAGCTCGGTCTTGGGAAGTATATCTTTGAGACAGCAAAGCCAAGACAGGTGGCAGTGTTTGGCGATAAAGACTATCCCAGGTGCTATATCAGTACAGACGTTGAGAGAGTCCCGCTCATACCAGGCACCCTAACGGGTATTTGGAGTAGTGTAGCTTATACACTAACCTGTTCGACAGATGAAGTTCATGTCTTTGGCTGGGGCAGTTGTCGAAAAGGTCAGCTGGGGAATAGCACGAAGGCCGACAAGGAGCTCTGGAAACCAAGACGGGTCACTGACGAGGATATCAAGCAGGACACGGAGATTGACAGGATTTTTACGGCAGCTGTGGGAAAAGACTTTGCGTTGTATCAAGGAACTCATGGTAAGCAAGAAGATACGGTGATAGAATGGAGACTGCTAGGTGGGAATAGCGTTCTGAAAAGCGATGGAGACGATGTGAAGAGTTTCCTTGCAGACTTGAGCATACCAGTACCGAGCGCAGAGATGGTGTGGCCAAGGACGAGTCTGTATGCGAGTTGGTCGAATGTCTATATTTTGGAGAGTAGGACGAACAAGGTGAAAGCTCTGGGAAGGAATGATCACGGTCAACTGCCACCAAAGCAGCTGCCGGGAGTGTGGACCATGGCTGCGGGAAGCGAACACTGTGTAGGCTTGACACCCGAAGGGGGAGTTGTGACATGGGGCTGGGGTGAGCACGGGAATTGCGGAAGGAGGAGCGACGAGACTGGGCAAGGCTGGAGTGTGTTGTCTCTACCTGCCGTGAGGACTGAAACAGCTGCTGGAGTTGGTGCAGGATGTGCAACGACTTTTATCTGGACTGCTGAAAAGTAAGACAGATTTCTGCTCTCATTTTCTTGTTCTGGACAACGACGGATTAGAAGCTTGTTGGGAACAGCACACAACAGACAGTGACCCATGATCAACTAGTCGAAAAGGCCTTTTAGCTGTGAAAGCCTCTGTGTCGGAGCTATTCCCTGGCCATTTGGTGCCTCCCTTCTGCTCCGTCCCGAACCTTGGAGCGAAGTGGCTGTTTCGCTATCCCGAATTCGCCGTGCAGCCCCTGAAGGCAGAGACCCGCGTCCACTCGCATCCCAGGTAATAAAGTCTTCTTGCTCAGCCGTATAATTGTCATGTTCATCCCAGAAATGCTCATCTTCGCCGGCAGGGAAAAACAGACTGTGTTGATCTAGAACGGCCGAAGGGGCTCCTGGGGTGCCGGTAGGGAAGGTTTGCTGGGCCTTTGTGTTTGTGGGCATCGATTGACTTAGCTGAGGTGCTCCGACTGTGTCTGCAACGGAGACGTTTGCCACTGGTGGAGGCATGATCGTGGCCGAGAGTGTAGGCGTTGGATCTCGGTCAATCAGATGTTGATCCGTGCTCTGGGGCTGTGGTCTCTGAACTGGTCTGACAGACAAGTCCCTGGCAGGAGTACTTGCCCTTATCGCAACAGCAGCAGAAGATACATTGGCAGGTGGACCTCTTGTCATAAGTGTAAACTCGCAAAGGATGCCATCGACCTCATAAGCAATCTGCATGGGTCGATTCCCTCTGGAGTATCTTGCTGTGACGCTGGCTCCTAATGCATCCGCATGGCTGACGATGGCGCGGAAATCTCGGACTACTATGCCGACATGTAGGCCTTCTTGGACGCTGAAATTATTAAAATCTTTCCTTTCAATGGCGACGGATGTATGCATAGGTAGCTTGAAGATTTCTCTGCCGTCTGTGATCCTCTCTGTGTAGCTTGTAAAGTTCACTTTCCCTTTCTCAAATGACCAATCCAACTGGTCAGTTGTTACACCAAAGTACTCCACAATGTCACGCAGCGTACGGGCCGACGTGGTCCAATGATTTGGGGAGTTCGCGCTATCGAAACTTGCTCGAAGCACATTTGTTGGCTCATAGATCAGTTTGTAGGTCTTGACGACGCCATGCCGGCAGATCATGCGGATGATAAGGCGACATTTGGTCTTGTCCGCCCGTGCTTGTAACTCAAACTCGCATCGTTCAAGAGCTGTCTCCTTCTCCTTGGTGTCGAGGTTTCGCTTCTTGAAGATGGATAGAAGTGCCTGGTTAAATTTAACAACGGAATAGTACACTGTGTACAGATAACTCACCCTGTTCTGCAACGTACAGCCCCATGTTTCATCGACTGAAGGAGTGTTGAAGGTCTGGTCCGCCTGAAATTTGTACTTGGCAAAAAAGGAGAGAGCATTTAAAGTAAAGCAGACATGCGCAGATTTGGACGAGTTGAGACAGGAAATACGAAGCTAGGAAGATGAGCAGACGACAAAAGGAACGGAAATGCAAATCTCACACTACTCGAGCTAGCTTCGAGCGATATGTTCTCGTCGAATCTTATGAGACAGGTTAGAACATCATGGAGATGGCCTACGCCGCCAGGCAGAACAGTAAAGGATAGAGAAGGCATAACATCCGGTCATGGTGCAGGTTACAGTCGACCACCAGGCACAGGCTCACCGGCTAATCAGCTCTGAAATAGCCCTCGAGACACCGAGGCGTGTCGTAATTCTGGATAACACGCGTTGCGCGCCGCAGGTGACCATAAGTCTTCATAAGTCTTGACCGCGATAAGATATTTTTTTATTAATAGAAAATTTCTGCTTAAAATAATTAGATATCCGTGAGGTAAAGTTCAAAGAGAAATCATTTAAAAAGATTTAAAATTTTGTATGAGGTCTCATACAAAATTTCATAAAATTTTTGATTTTTTCAAGAATTTTGCGTTTGAACTTCAGCTCACGGTTATCTAATTATTTTAAGCAGAAATCTTCTGTTAGAACAATAAAATTTTATCAATTTTCTAGTATTCTACAAATTTTCAAATATAGTTGCCGCCTAGCAAAAGCTTTTAAAGATATTTTAAAAGTTCCACTTTTTGGTGTGGTCCCACACAAATTTTGATGTCGGTCGGATACTTTTGATCTAGTACTGTATGTTACAGCGCTGACCCGTCTCTCGGTACTCGATACGTCTGGATCTATTCTGAAGCCGGCCTCCTGTTAGGACCTGTCTTTTTCTACTTGCGTAGCTCGCACCAACAAGAGTCCTTCTTCACGCGTTGAATCTCGTGTGGCTCAACCGACAGTCAAGATGCCTGTCCGCCACTTGCCGGAGGAAATTCTGATATTGATATTTGAAGAGCTTGGGCGAAGGAGAGACTTCCCAACACTGTTCGGATGTGCTCTCAGCAGCGTGTCATTTTCGGAGCCGGCGCTGAAAATAATGTACAGAATCAATGAGCAATCTCCCTTGATTACCGAGACTGACGAGCTTGAAAATCTTCGGCGACGTCAGCCTGGCAACTTTGATATCAAGTCAGCTCAACAAGAGTCGCAACTTCGAAAATGGGCCCTGCTTTGGCGATCAATCATCAGATCAAGTCTCAGCGCCACCTACAAACCATATTGTCTATACATTCGCTCCTTGAACCTTGACAATCTAAAAGACCTCCTTCAAGAGGGCAAGTTCTCAGGCAAGATAGAACAAGACTTTTTTGCAGGCGAACTGCAGGATTTTCACCTTCGGACAGAGCTAATCTGTACCCAGCCAACGAAAAACAGGCATAAAATTCGCCTAGTTGTGGATTTCATGCCTATCCTCCATGCAGTGGGAGAGGCTATTACAAAGAAAACTATGTTACTCGAAGAGCTCAGAGGTCCTATCAGCAAGGAGTTTCTCCCACAGTGGATACGACGGTTGCCCAGGCTGCAAGTCCTCCACTTACAGCAAGGCCATGTTCTGACCGCAGAAGCTCAAAACGCCATCAGAGAAAATTGCCCTTCGTTCAGAAGTCTCGAACTTTATGCGTGGACGGAGGCCAAAGCGGATGAGCACCTTGCAGCCCTATTAAGCACAACTTCTGGTTGGCAAAATTTCGAGCTCTATAGCGGCTCGGACATTGGCAGGATGTCTCTCACAGCCATGAACCATCATGCAAGCACACTGACGTCGATAAAGCTCATGGGGCTCAACGACGATGGAGTCAGATCCCTTGGTTGTCTGAAGGAGTGTACTGCCCTTCAAAAACTCGAGTTGGAGGCTGCTAGATCATTCGTTCAACTGGAAGACCTCGAGAATGACGCATTCTTGAAGATTGTAGCCTGGTTGAATAACTGCTGCGATCTCAAGGAGTTGGCATTGAATAATTTCTATGATGGACCAGCGATCCTGGCCGAAACACTGGCCACCCGCAAGTTCACTCTCACTAGTCTCTCCCTGAATAAATACATTGCCAGCGGTGACAAGGCAGTCGCATTTCATGCAGCCATTTCAGAACAACTTAGTCTTCAGAGAGTGTACCTGAATGGTGATGGGGAGGACACTACAAACGAAGAATTGCAAGTGCTGGTCAATGCTCTCAGCCGGCTGTCGTGTCTGCAGGTCCTGGATTTGAATCAGATGTCTGACAATTTCAAGGATCACCATATCACCACCCTTGCTTTGAACCTTCCAAGTCTGGAAACGTTTTATCCCAGTGGTTCTGCAATCACCGATAGTGTCTTCCAGGCACTTGCCGGACTTAAAAACCTCAGAGATATGCAGTTCTGTGGTGTAACACACTTCACCGCCACAGGGATTGCCGACTTCATCTGGACTCTTGATTCCACAACCAACAGCGGACTGACTCTGGGCTTGTGGGCGGTCGACGCGGATCACATGCTGTCAAGTGATGCAGAAGCCTTCTTGCAGGAACTGATCAGCACAAGACTGAACGGCCGCTTCTGGGTGACATCATGTGGAGAAGATTCAGACTTTGAGTCAGAAAGCGACTGATGGTGACATTACAAGAGAACTCATCTTTCACGCTGCTTGACGGCTTTCTGACAAGCTTCTAAAAAGATTTGCGAGAACTCCCAGACATCCACAAAGCTGTTGTACAAAGGCGCTGGGGCGATCCTAACAACATCTGGCTTCCGCTCATCTACAACCACACCGTTGCTATCGAGCTCCTTGAGGATAACGCCAAGCAATCCAGGTTCCAATCTGACACTCAGCTGGGCGCCTCTCTCATCCGAATTCTTGGGTGTGAGGATGGTGAATGGCTTATCCTCGGGGAGAGCATCTATTGGAAATCGTAGTAGCAAGCTTTCCAGATATTTCGTAAGGGAGATGGACTTCCTTCGCAGCTCCGCCATTGATGTCATATGGAATACCTCCAATGATGCAATGCATGCGGTGAGATCAAGAATGCTTGGATTCGAAAGCTGGTAGCCCGCAGCTCCTGGTCGAGGAACAAACTCTATTCATGGTTAATCGGAAGCTCTTTGAGATCAGAATACTGCATCGTGAACACGCACTCTTATCCATCTCGAATCTTGTCTGTTTATCGGCTCCCCACCACCCGCAGAGTCGGGGCCGATATCTTTCCTCCCTCGTAGAAGCGCTCATGTCCACCCGTCCATGCTTCTCGTGCACGAAGAGCGCACCGATCGAGCCCGGCCCAGAGTTCAGATACTTGTAATTACACCACACGGCGAAGTCGACATCCCAATCATGCAACCTCAAACCCACATTCCCTGCTGCATGCGCACAATCCCAACCAATCAGGATTTCTTTGGAGTGAGCATGTCGGGTTATGGTGGCGATGTCTAGATACTGGCCTGTATAGAACTGGATACCTGGTAGCAGGATTAACGCGGTACGATCCGCGTGAATGTCAATGGTTTCCAGAATCTGTTCTGTGGTGATGATGGCTTTGTCGTCCTGTGGTTCGATCATGATCATGGCATCTTTAGCATCGAAGCCGTGCTGCGAGATTTGCGACTCCACGGCGTACTACAGGAGACAAGCATGTCAGCCTCAGAGCCAAAACTGATACGCACCTCCGAAAGAGAAGCCGTGAAGCACGTGGATTGGGCGCAAAGTCTACATACATGATCGCTGGGAAAGGATTTCCCCTCCAGAATAATCTTATACTTCTCCCTCGTTGGCTGATAGAAACCCGCCATCACAAGATGCAGGTTCGAAGTTAAAGTCCCCATCACTGCGACCTCGTCTTCCCGTGCCCCAACAATGGGTGCCATAAGCTTGGCGGCATAGTCATCGACATCCACGAAAGGTGGTAATGCCGAATCGGAGTGGTTTCTGAAATGACCTGTGACCCCCTTCGTGGACCATGCTGTCAGAAAGGATGAGACACGCTGTTGAGTCTTTCGAGGCTGCAGTCCGAGAGAGTTGCCGCAGAGGTAGATCGAGGGTGGTGAATGGGCCTCTTGTGGATCGGTAGATGAGAGGGTTGGGCGCTTGAGATCTGCTTTACTCGGGATGATGAATTCATGGCGGAAGTTTCTGAGAGGATCGTGCGCATCGAGTGACTCGGCGTATCCTCTGCTGTTTGCACGGATGTCCACATCCGCGGCAAGGGGAGGGCCGTGCTTGATCTGTTCGACATGGTGGCGCGAACCCATCTCGAAGTCGGTCCCCCAACAGCCTCACATATAGCCGATGCCCAGCCCGACACTTCAAGCGACTGTACTTAATTTCTCTGCTGGAGTATGAGTAGAGGTAGGATATCTGTGTCTTGTGAGTGAACATCTATCACGAGGATTGCATGACCATTTAACCGCTGAGGGCACAAGTCGTGGTGCGGGGAGACCTGGAAGGGGGACGATGCCGCCCGAGGCCCATTGACAGATTTGGTGTCACCCTTGGCGAAGCAGCGAGTGCCAGTATCAATGGGAATATAACGCTGGTCATTACCAGTATATAAGTCCCGCTTAATTTGTCAGTCAAAGCTACGCCAAGAGCGACACCCAATTTGTTAGTGGGCCTCGGCCCGGGGGCTTGTCTCCAGAACTGCATCACTGACAAAGCATACATCTTCTGTTCAACTCCCGCTACCAACCTGTCGTCCGAAGAAGCAAGATAGCATGTCGCACCCATCCGCTTCAATGGCTCGACGGCTTCTCTGCCAGTCTCCTGCTGCGTTCTTCCGTCATTGCCGGTCCAATGCGTGTCAGAGTTCGGTCCGCTGTTCCAGTGCAGTTGCCGCTCCTCAGAGAACTTATCATAGCGCACGACAACTTCCAAGCTTACAACGTCTCGAAAAGTCGTCATTTTTATATTTGTTTGTTATCCCACGCCCTAACGGTCAGGCTCGGCCTTTTAAAACCGCTACACCTACATGCGCAACGACTGTTCTGCAAAATCCAAGGTTGGATGAGCATGGAAATGAGATGACCATTGAAATCTCCGATAGAGCAGCAAAGGTACGCACATCGAATTGCAGATCGCTCTTTTCCTGGTCGAAACGTATGGAGATGTACCTCGATCGCTAACATATACTGCCAACGCAGCGCCTCCAACAGATAACTTCCTCATCCTCTAAGTCCATGTCCGGCCAGAACCCTCCTCAACACAACCATCTTCGAGTCTCCGTGACCTCTGGCGGCTGCCATGGTTTCCAGTACCTCATGTCCCTAGAACCTTCTACAGCAATCGAAAACGACGTGGATACCATATTTGCCTCGCAAGATTCACCTGGATCTGCTAAGGTGGTGATGGATGAAGCAAGCCTGGAGTTGTTAAAGGGGAGCACAGTTGACTATACTACAGAGCTGATTGGAAGCCAGTTTAAGATTGTAGGTAATCCAAGAGCGAAGAGCAGTTGTGGATGCGGGACGAGTTTCGACATTGAGGATTGATGGATGGGATCACACCATTTTGCTAGCTATACCAACACAAATGACCTTGGCGCAGAGTTCGAAGACTGGCATATCCGCCTACCAGATCATACAAGCTTATAGCACAGCACAGAGCGCTAACCTCAGGGACTATGCAGGCTTCATGCCCATGGTAATCTCCTGCAGAAATTTGGCCTTCGCAAAAGCCTGCTCCGGACTAACCCATATGGATATGTAAAGGAAAGTCTGATGATATGTTCCACGGCGGACGTGCATGAGCTTGGTCTACACGAAGTCCGGGACTGTTGGAAAGCATCGAAGTCACAGCCCAAGCACTGCTTGTAGGGACGGTGGTGCCTCAAGATATTGCTACAAGTATATTCGTTCATGCTCCGAAACTGACCCGTGGGGCTGGTGTTGGGTGCTAGCCACCTTTGACAGGTATATAGCGGCTAGTAGCTCAATCGATATTTACCTCTCTTTTCGTTGGGCAACGCCGGTTCACGACACTGAGGTAAAGGTCCCAGGCATGATTCCAACGAAGGAGAGGTCGAAGTGACTACCATGGGCAGCCGGAAGACAGTCAGTCTGATTGTCAGTTACCATGTTGGAGCTACTGCCAGTCAGATGCTAAAATCCTGCATGGGCTCGATCCGGATCAAGGGCTCGGTCGCAGAGTATCGGCATATGTGTCATACGGGATCTTGGTGCTCACTGTTGCCATACAGCTCTTTGGGCCTGTGCTCCCATCGTTATATGACGACCTACCATGGCTGCTGGTGGACGTTAACCGAGGACGAAATCTCAGGGGCAATGGGATAGCTAGCACTACCCTCTCTTAACAACCCTAAGTGGGCGGAAGGATCGAGGAAAGAATCTGTCGATTCAGTCTGGCGTGTTTATTGCAGTAGCACTTGTCCCAAAGTTCCATTGACGGACACTGAGCTCGGTAGCTCGAAAAGCCGTATCTTTGCAGGGAGCTGTACTGCTGGACTTGGAAGGCTAGTAGCGTCATCTACGACGATCGGTGGAAGAAAAGTGTAGTCCCTACTGAACATTCAGAGACTTGAAGTCCGGCAGCAGCAAAACAAAAGGGTGGCATGTACGACGTTGCCAAGCTGTCAAGAAACGAGCAACTGGAACTTGAAGTCGGCTTTGGCTCCGCAATTGCTTACTACGTAGTAACTTGTGTTTTTCACTACTAAGTTAGTATTAGTATAGCAGATCTTCACCTCGAGAATCGGAATCTCCCGGGAGTTACACGACATTTCCGGAGCTCCGAACCGCAGAAATCGGGCAGTTGTAGCCGCATTAGGTTGTTATACGATCTTCAGGATCTTCAGGGTCTTCAGGCCTTCGCAAGGATACCTGGTCCATCAGCTGCGAGGTTCCAAAGTTCCTCGATCAACCTCGGCGATGTGCAGAATGGGCTATATGTACTTGGGTATGTTGGTCAGCTCCGATTGCGAGTTGCGACAGACGTCGGGCTCGGAGAATAAGTGGCCTAACGTAGTGTCAGGAAGACATGCGCCAGGGGGCCTATGAGAGAGCCGTTGGGCGAATTCCGTGCATATCGAGCCTCAAGACGGCAAAGCTGCAAGATACCGATGACTGATCTTTGCGGGACGCGTAATCCGGGACGGCGTGGTACAGAGTCCATGCAAGTCCTGACAGCATCAACGTTCTAGCATTCCGGCTTTCACCACGCGCCGTTCGACTTTTTGCCCCCAAGAAAAGCAAGTCTTTTGTTGGGAGTACCTGTCAGCATACAGCCCATGGCGACACTGTCCGCTGCTTCCCTCTCTCCACTTGCCTATTCAACTCGGGCCTCCTGTGAAGCTTTCGTACTACTGGCCTCAACATATGCCAGACCCATAGTAGAAGGTTCTTGGTGTCTCATTGACCAGAGTGGCACTACCTTTCGAAAATTGATTTGGACACGCGCGGCTAGCTGTCACTCAATTGTCAACCATTGTCAACCATCGACGATGCAACCGTGACGTTCCGGAAACCTGACTCCACACGGGTTGTGGCCATATCACCGACAGCCCTGCCAGCCGCTAAGGCAGAAGAAAACTGTACAATGCGCGCAGCCTCCACTTTCTGTCATGCTATCCCTGGTAGAAGTCTCTGTGCAAGAGTACGTCACACTCACACACGAGCTCCACCATGTCCATTATGCGGGCTGACAGGAACAGCGATACCCGCAACAACCTCGTACATGGGATGTGCTTGACAGAAAGAGATCTGCGACCCAGCGTTGAGGTGTGACAACTATCGATCTAGCGCGTTCTTACATGGCGTTGAGAAAAGATCTGCCTTGATCTGTATCACATCTCGTCCAAGGGAGCCGCACGTCATGAGTCATCATCAATTGCGCCATCGTACCCCATCGACCACCATACCAGAGTCCAGTGGCTGACCTAGTCTCATTAGTCTCATTCAGTTGCAGTCTCATTCCCAGAAACTCACACCTCCCCCTCATCTATCTTCACGTGGAAGCGGAAGCAGAAGCTTGCACCGTAGCTGCCTGCTATGACGGAACTGTGTTTTCCCCTCCCAGTCTTCTCTTCTGTTCTGCCCCTCCCTCCCCCTCCTCCGTCATATTCTTCCCCACCCGCCCTCTCCCCCCTCACTTCACTTCAGACGGCCCCAAAGCCAGTAACAAGGTAAGCTACTAGCCCCTTTGAGCGTAGAGTCCATACACATTTTCAGCCAGCCAGCCAGCCAGCCAGATAGGCAAGCTGAAAGAGCAGACTTAAAGAGAGGGCTACTTACTTTGCATGAGGAAGGAAAGAAAAGGAGAAGGAAGGAACGTACAACAGTGAAAACAACGTCAGGTCAATGTGCCGTAACGTAACGTAACATAACATAATATCCTCTGATCGCCGAGCCAGGCGATTTGGTAGCTAAAGTGGTAAGTAAGAAAGAGAGAGAGAGAGAGAGAGAGAGAGAGAGAGAGAGAGAGAGAGAGAGAGAGAGAGAGAGAGAGAGAGAGAGAGAGAGAGCAGGCCTAAGAAACAGCTCCAGAAGAGCTCCAGAAGCAGGGCGGATAGAGAAGAGAAGTCGACATTGGACGGAACGAAGGAGTAGCGGTGGAGGGAAAGACATCAATCAGGAGGCACCTCTGGTATACCGGTTGGGACACAGAAAAGTAGCCGGAGCTGACCTTGGTTAACATAACGTCTTATATACGCCATGGCATGTTTGGAGTAGAGGCAGCGGCCGCAATCCATCAAGATGCCATAAAGTTTACTCAACTTGAGGTGAAGAGTCTGGTAGAGTCTTGGATTTCATTTTATAATATCTCCTACTTGAAGGAAGGAGTCTGATAGAGTCTTAGATTCTGATTTTGTATTGTCCCCAGTTCGAGGTAAAGAGCCAGATAGAGTCTTGGATGTTGGTTGACCTTGTCTCTCTATTAAAATTTCCTGCCATTTGAAACGTGTACATGGCAAATCTCTCACCACTCTCTCTGATGGCGCTAATACGCACATCTTTCTCCGCCATTCTACTCTGCGATGGCAGGGCCCATGGGCAATCTTCTAACCGCCCTGTTGCGTACGACGGGACTTTGAATGATAATGGGTGCAAGTAATATGACGCTTAAAATAGCCACAGCCGCCAAGGTCACCAACGCCTTGCAAATGTAGCCGTATACGCTGCCAATGGGAATCGATTCTGAATGCTCGACAAAAGTGACGTTGATGGAAAACGTGATGGAGGTGGTGTAGATAGAGACGACTGATGTGATAAGAATGACAAGGACGGTGAGTCATAACACGACGCAGGAGGAAGTGTGAGACCTGTGAAATCGGAGAGAAATGTCAGTCAGTTTGGTTGTTCAGCTTCGGGCAATGCATCCTCGGTGGTTTCATTGCTGGCCGGATCAGCTGGGGACTCGGGCTGAGAAGCAGAGGGGCTTGTTTCTTCCGCCATATCGGGCTCTGAATCGGTCTCGAGAAACTCAGGCGGTGGCATCCACCGCCGGAAATTCCCCCCACTTCAAAGCAGAAAAGCGCGTCAGGCAGACTGCAAACAATACCTAGGAAAGGGTGGCGACTTACCATCGAGCGGCTTCTAGTCTCGTTATCCACCGTGCTGTGATCTTCAGCCTCTCTCTGACGCTCGTGGTTGGCAGTAGTTGATATTTCTCATCTTCTGAGATAGGGAGCACGCTAGCAAACCAGTAGGGAAATATGGCCGGATCTGACGGAGGCGGTCCATAGACGGATATGAAGCGCTCGGCAAGCCAGGGTTCGGATGCCGCTTGTGCCCTTATGATGAAGTCCAGACCAAATTGTAATAGCCGTTGAGTAGACATGTGGTTGAGTCGCCCCAGCGTGTCATTCGATGGTGGTTCCGGGCCAGCTGTCTCGCGTGCCTCCATAGCCTCCTCTTCCGACAACGGTACATCGTCGACTCTTTGGACCCTACCAACCATATATCCATCGCGCATTGCAGTCTCCAAAACCGTAAACCTTGAAACACCTTTGGTCTCGATCAGGCTGCGGCCATCCGGGAAGATCTCGATATTCTGTATGTGGAGTAGAGTACCATACTGCACAAAGTGCGATTGACCCAGTGCACCCTGCGGTCTGCCCCTTCGATTGTACATCATCATTCCAAATTTCCTGCCACCCGTCTCGATTGCTCGTCGCACCATCAATCGATACCGTGGCTCGAAAATGTGTAAGAAAGTGGGCATCTCCGGATACGCCAGCGTGCACGGAAACAACGCAACGTTCATATTGCCATCAACCATGTCTTCTTCTTTTGCGGCTGCTATGCGAAGTTGCAACAAATCTGGACACAATCCGCTGATAAGCTGTGAAGTTGTTTTGTTGGAGGGCTCGGCTTGAGCACCAGGCAGCAGCGGAATGACCCTGCGGCATGCCGGGCACAGGTTCGAATGGTCCAAAACCCGTGCCACGCATTTTCGGCAGAATGTGTGTCCACATGATGTAGTAAGGGGATCCAGCATAAGTGAATAGCATACTTGGCATTCCAACTCGACCTTGATAGCTTCTTTCAAGTGTGCGAACACGGCCACGTCGAGGGCTTCAATACTGTCCGCTTGCTTTGGTAGTGGCGTGTAGGCAACCTCAGAGTGATAGTTTAGCTCGCCCATGTCTGCAAAGGTGTATGTAGCGACCAAGCGACCGCCATTGAGGACGCGAGACCGGGGCATAACATCCATGGAGCTGTCGATGATGTTCTTCCAATGCAGCCGTTCATCCAACATCAGCGGAGCATCACTTGTCTCACACTGATAGCTTTCCATGTAGCTTCTTACCACATCCAGCAGCTTGTTCAACGTAACATCCATACTGCAATCTCCTATCGAGTGTTCCAGGCCACAGTCCTTGAAGGGACAAACAAAACCCTCCGCCCGGCCCGGATTGGATGGATACGTAATGTTTTCCCGTTTGTAGCGGGGAGGAAGACATCGGCGGCACAGGGAATATCCGCAGGGTAAGGTCATCGGTTCTCGGAGAGGGTAGGAGCATACCGAGCATTGAAAGAGCCGTATTATTGCTCGCGCATCTTTATGGGCATCAAGGCCCTGCTGCGCCGAGCTCACCTCGACGGACTCTTCATTGCTGCTCATGGACGCAGGAAGGTGGTGAGAGAAGACTCGAACGAAGGTGGTGTAGTATATCGAACGAGAATGAAGAGACGTACACTTGGATCAAACTTCATACGACCAGACAGAGCAATATGAACATAGTTGACCGGGTTCGGGAGTAGCGATCAGTACCCTGAGACGATGACGCACTCTTTTTTCTCCGGAGGGAAATAGTGCTTCTTTCGGAGAAAATATGGAGAGACCGCGTGAAGCAGCTGCTACAAGATATTGACTGGCAAATGCAGATATACGGTAGCCTTACTTGGAGGACGTATAAGTGAATGAACCGGGGTAGCTGTCTGCATGCAAGTTGGTGATATATGCCATGGTAGCGGGAGGGATGTTTGCACCGGGATGTGGGATGTGACAGTACAGCTGGACAAGGCCAACCTTGGCCGAGATATCTTATGTCCCAGAGAAGAGTGGCAATTGGTCCGTGGGGCCAGGCAATAGGTAATAATGCACGACGTTGACACTATACTTTCAAAAGCATTAAGCCTTTAAGCCACAATGGACAATAACAATGTGGACATGCCGGACAGTATAACGTCTGGTGTGCCGCCGAAAGAAATCGATGGAAGGCGCTCGGCGGCTCCTGACAGGCTGACGGAAGAGATGTGAATGGTTGGCTTGGGAGGAGAGGGGCCATTGATCATGTTTGCTAGGTTGACTAACGAAGCTGGTGGGGGTGGGGGAGTTGCTTGCGTGGGCAGAGCGTGATCTGGTATCAAGCAGATTGGTCGATCGAGAGGAAGAGTGTTGCAGTTGAGGAGTGGCACTGAAGCCCCGATGGGCGGCCAAGAGGGCGATCGTCGATCCCAACGGCGGCACGAGAGTGCACAAAAGGCCCCAGATGTGCCAACTGGTGCCCAAATTGTGGTTAAGCCGCGGCAAAGCGGGACGTCCAGGGCCAATACACCAACGATGTAGCCATCATAGACACTGCCAGTCACATATCACATGACTCCACGCTCTCGTACTATGTAGTATCCTTTGCTCTTTTCGACCTGCTCAGCTGCTCAGCTACTACTACGGTACATATTCCGTAGTGCTACGTAGTGAAACGTTGTGGTACATGTACTCCGATCCATGTGGAAGCCTGCTTACTAACTACACACTGGCTTGCGGGCGGCCGTTCTTCAACCGGACACTCAGGAGATCTTGCGACTCTTTTCTCCCAGGAGATCCGGCATGAGGCATGAGGCATGAGGTATGCGGCATTTGAACAATCACGATCTTAGTGGTGACCTACCTAGACTGCTGCCTGAGAGCCAAAAACACCTCATCTGTATGTGGTTCATGTTCCATCGCGTCCTTTGCCTATCATCCTATGCGCTCGTCCCTGTGCTGTGCTTTGCTTTGCTGTGCCGTATCATGCCAATTCCGATTCCCACGACAATGCCTGTACCGGATCTGGTGCTGAACACCAGCAGGACATCAGTCTGCGCTAGACATAGGAATGGACCTCAACCCGTACTTGCTTCCATCTCATCCTCCATATCTTCCTCTAGCACAATTCTTCTGATGATGCCTTTGTCGAAAAGATCAAGAATGAATTGTCGCTGCCACAACCGATAATGATGGCTTTCTAGCAGTGCTAATGTTTTTTTGAAGAGCGAGACCTGCTTGAAAGCATTTTGATGGCGGATTTTGAGGCCATTCAATTCGACTGCCACCTTCTTCGCCAGCACGGTATTGCCCATCTCGATGACCGCTTTCAGCACTCTGGCGTGGAAGGGATTGTCATCAATCGCGGCAGCCTTGTACTTCTCCGCGTTCTCTCTGAGTGCCTTGGACTCGTCGGTAGAGTTATGCCGGAATGTTACCTGAGTGCATTAGCATCATCCACTGGAGCAAGCAGACAGAAAGTGGATAATTACCGAACACAGCCTGCTGAGCTGGTCTGGCAAGCACAGCCCTAACGATTGGCCACGCTCGTCAACTGCCGACTTCCAACCGAGCTCCAACAGCATCTCATTTCCATGCTTGCTTCTTGACATCAGCCCGAGAACAAAGAACGCTGTGCCCCGTAACGACATCACTTCGGCGCCTTCTGCAATCCTAACTATTGAGCCAACGATTTCGGTCTCTTCGAGGAACGTTGCTCCCAATTCCATTGATCCCACATTCCCAATGGCCCACAAGCAGCCCTTTACCTTGGTAAGCGTCTCATCATCCTCTTCGTCTAGTTCGAAGTCGCGAACTACAGATGCGAAGTCGTTGAAATGGCCGGATTTCTCTAACAGCCGGCATCCCTCCTCAGTTCGAGCAAGCTCTCGATAGAAATGCGGTGGTACAACACCGAGATCTTCGAGCTCCAATATATCGTCATTACTACTGTATGTGTTCCGGCTGTGGCTAGGTTGCTCGGCATAGGCACGCGCGAGTGAGGCTTCCACCAATGTTACATACGTGTCGTTTCGGCCCAAGAACCAATCGTCCATTTCCTGGGTGATATAGTCCAGTCCGTCAAGGTAGTGGTAGCCAACAGAGGTAGACAAGAACCGAAGCAGCAGTGGTGCCCCAATCTCCCCAAGATGATCTAACGAGGGTCGACACTTTACCACGTACTCCAAATGGTCTCGACGATTGCAAGCCTCTTCCAGGTTTTTCACGGCAATCTCGCAAACTTCAACATCAGGATCGTAGAGCTGGGTGAGCAGGAGATTGAGTACCCATCTCGAGCCAGAAGCAACATCACCTGCGTTCGACAGCTCGTTACTTATGGCATATCGCCGCAATAGCTTCGTGGCGAAGATGCGAATCTGCTTGCATCCTGCTGTAAGTGCCTTTGACAGTAACACTCGAAGATGACTATCAATTGAGAAATCCATGTTCCCCAGCAGCGTCTCAACCAGGTCCTCCCGATCATGAAGGTCTACAATGTGGTAGAACATGTTAATCATATGCCATTTCTGCATCATCAAGATCCCATCGGAAGTCTGGCTGAGGGTACCGACCATGGCAAAGTATCCTCCGCTAAGGGTTTCAACCATTTGGCTTCGGTCGAAAAAGGGTGACGTAGACGTCAGGCCACTCAGTCTGTCTACTTGAGCCATACATTCTGCCACTTGCCGGAGGAGCTTATTCTCAGTCAGATATTGAATCCCCGCGGCAGTCTGCATAAGACTTTTGATGAGAGCACAGCCAGTTCTCACATATCTTTGGTTGGGTCTCGTGTTCCGCACCGTTGAGAATCGGTACTTAAAAGGCCTGTAGAAAGCAGTCAAGCGTTTCAAGAATTTGGAGTTCAGCACTTCTTCGACTCGCTTCGGATTTGTCAAAGGACCTTCAATAATGCTGTGTATGAGGTCCCATTTCCACTTGATGAATTGAATGTGGTTTGGCACTTGGGTATCGAGAACAGCTTGCCGAAACTGCTCGGCATCCATAGAGGCACTGAGTTTCGACTTATCGACCAATGGCGAACCAAGATGAATGTCCCCACGGGAATCATAAGCTCGGCTGACAGTTGTGATGCTACTGACACGGTTCAGCGTTCGATTAATACTCTCGATTTGGAAGATCAGTGCCGCGTTAATGGCACACTCTTCCGCATCGGATATCGTTCTTTCCGTCACGAGTCCGCTCAGAACCTGAATTTCAGAGCGAGCAGGCTCAGGAAGACAGTAGTTGGCCAATCTTAGAATTTCTGTAAGCAAAAGAGTGGCCTTCCGGTTTATGGCCAGATCTTCCTCGCTTTTGATCATGTTTGTTAGAGCTTCAATAAGACCAGCTCTCAGTAGTGTTGCCAGAACAAGAGTCGAGAAATGTGATGTCAGATCTTGCCGTTGAGACTCGTGATCGGTATCGTGTTTTAGCCTTTTGATCGCTGGTTCGTGGTGTGCATGTAAACCTCGCCCATATGTCGTCAATCGTCGCCCGGCCAGAAAAGTCGATGACCACGAAGGCGCCTTGATTCGAAGCACGTCAAATAGTAGTTCCAAAACTAAGTCCTTTGCCTGGATGGTAGGATATTGTAACGAACCTAGCAGTGACCTAATGGCAGCTGCGTTGTTCCTAGATAATGTTAGTAATCCTGACCATGACTTCAACATTTCTGCAACAGCCTTGACGCTTGTCTTGAGTCGCTCTTCATGCCCATTACAGTAGAGAGGATCTGTCAGTGGACCGAAAAACGTTTCGATTTCCCGGCCAGATTTCAAATACCCTCGCCGACGGGGAGCGTCGAGGAGCTTCATAAAGCCTACCGCGAGGCTTTCGGATGCATGAAACGTGCCTTCCGACAGAATCTCGGTGAGAGTGTTTAAGCCACCAGCTTGGATGAGAAGTGCTGGATCTCTCATCAAGATCTCTGCCAAAGTCAAGATACAGATATGGTGCAATCGATCATCATGTTGCTCTGCAACAGCCACTACTGCCCGAACAACGGCTCTTGAAACATCCAAGACACCATCTTTGACATCCAAAAAAGCCCTGACAAATTTGACAGCCTGCTCTCGTTCCAGTATTGCATTTCCCTTCTTCACCAGGGACAGGATCACCACCTCGTCAGTGTGAAGAGCTCGAATCGTTTTTAGTGACGATCGATCAGCGATGGCGTATCTCGTCAAGCGGTAGCCTGCTGCGACCACATCTGTACTGTCGCTAAGGAGCATCATCTGGACCCGAAGGCTGAACACGGACCAAGCAAGGTCGTATTTAAGTGTTGGATGGCGTTTGAAAAGCTCAACCAGTGTATTGGCTCGCTCGATATAGTAGTCTGGCTGCATGCCTTCAATCTCCAGCTCCTGAAGTATCTCTGTCAGTACTAGGGAGGGCGACTCCCCTTCGAAAGCATCCGACGGTGGTTCTGGATCTGGCAAATCTGGAGCGACAGGCGGCGACTTCATCGGGCTGCCACGGAAGTAACTAGACATGTGATTTCTGGGAGGCGTTGTGGGAGTTTGCGCGCGTTGAATCTCTTGGTTCAGCTCTTGATGAAGCTCGTGCAGCTTCCGCTTAGAAGAACCCAGCTCCATCTCTACCTTCTGTCTCTGCTCTTTGGTCTGCTTTGGATTCTTCGATTGCAACGCTTCCAGCATATTTTCTGTGCCCAGCTTGATCTTCATTTCCTTTGCAATCTTGTCTCGCACAACGGCTTGCCGTTGTTCTGACTCTGTAACTGGATCGTCATCGTTAGGGCCACTACTGGTAACACGGGACATGGCCAGTTCTGGTCTTGATGCTGTACTTCGAGGAAAGGATGTGGTCTTCAAGTCTGTGCTGAAGCTACCTGGAGCCACACCGGGCATTGTGCTCGTGGCTAGAGACGAACCCCTGGGTCCATATTGTGCACTACTACCCGAGTACGAACGCCCGTTCTTCGAGAGCTTCGGGATGCCATCGTCGCTTTTGCGCGAGACATGGTAGCTCGCAAAAGCGCGACTTTGCGAAGGCATCACTGAGGAGGCAGTGCTGTATTCTGGCGCCGTTGATCCATCAATACCAACGACACTCGCATACCTGCAAATCGCTTGTCCCTAGTGATGGATCGTATTGTGTGAGGTCGTTGCGCATACAGAGGGCAGACTATGCAATGTCGATGTGTCGGCGACCATGAGTTAATGAAATGGCAGTAAAGAAGGATGTTACTTTGCGACTCCCACGGTCAGAGAATGACAGACTCCGAAAGGAGGGAGGACTCGTAGTCAAGCCAGCTTGACTCGGGGACTGATAGAAGAAAAGGTAGAGATCGCAGGACGCCTGGAACATGATCAGTCACACCAGAACATGAAAACATGAAAACGTGGACCTCTTACAGCAATGACTGAGTAGCTCCGTGCGTATCAGAAGAATATGGAGAGGAGAATTCAATTAGATTGATCCCTGTAGGTACCGTGGATATGGTAATGCGCCCCCTCCTGCCCAGGCCTAATTTAGATCTTATGGTAAAAGAGGCTTGAAATCAATGCGGGGAACGAGACCACTGTCCTCTGTACTCCATAGGTATTGGATGGCCAATTGATTTACTACGTAACCGTAGAATGCAGCCGTGGGTGACCAGCGTCCGCCAAGGCCTCAAAAGCAATAAGCATATCTTTTTTGACTTGCAAGGAGAATTTCCAAACTACTACATCCAACCTCCAATGCCACAATCAATTACTGTGGTAAGCTGCCGAATATATATTGGGTCTCATGATGAGATCACTCAGATCTTCAACCGACCTGAACAATCCGTGCCAGTACAGCACGTCCAAATCTCCTCGAGGACAGATTATTTCTCTTCGTCGTTGTGTTGGTACATCCATATTCCGGGGTACTGCATTGAGCCCTACTTTGATATTCTTATGGCAAGCACATCGACAACATTACTAGCTAAGTTTTGGGCTTCTTTGGAACGTGTTGTCCTTTGTACAAGGCTCTGTGCTTAAAGTATTCCTACCGGTGGCTCGGCCTTCTCTTCATCACTGGAGACGGCGGTTGCCTCCGAGTGCCTGCCTGTAGGCTCAGTCCATTCGGATTTTGGGTCCAGTTCTATCTTCAAGCGCTCCCTAAGGATCTCCAGCACATTCCTTTCCCAGTCGTTGACTTCGAGCCAGTCTGGTATAGTGATATGCTTTGCTGTTATGGTGATTTCGTGTTCGCGTTCAAAATGCATTCCTTCTCGCGTGTTCACCCTGCTCACTCGCCGACTCCCTGCATCTGAAAATTGTTCCTCTTTTTCGGCTTGTGCAACTGTCTCTATTCCCGAAGTTGCCTTTCCATTATGGTTATCACTCAAATCGACGGGTGTCCACCAGTAGATGGGAAACCGCCTATGTATATTGTTGATGATACACGCGCTTACCAACATTAAGGTGGACCCCAGTAAAACCAGGGCGAGCAGATACCACCCTAGTGCTGTTATCTCTGGGCTTGTAGCCGCCAGTAGAGCCGTTGCTCCTGCAGGCGGATGGACTGTTTGTGTCGCGCCCATGACCACCGAGGAAGTACCAACAGCAAGAGCACCAGCCAGCCATCGCAGGTCTTCAAAGCGAGCCTCTGGGAGTAAAGCGAAGAGTTTGGTGATGCCGATGCCGACCAAGGCAGCCAGAAGATGGCCGAGGACTAGGTTACGAGGCTGAGCGAGGGGAGATTCGATCGTATGATATTCAAGGATGGCTGCTGCACCCTAAACGAAAAGACAAGTGAAGGTCAGAAAGAGTAGTCGGCAGTGACTGACTTGGCGAAGCATCGCCGAAGGGAACCTTACGAAAGAACCGATGATGACTGGCGGTGCATGGCTTTGTATGATCGCACTCGACTTGCATACCCCTGCTATCAACGCAGTACCGCAGAAGGCACCAACGAAAGACCAAAGCCAGTTGACAATGTTTCCAATACGTTGGCGAGGCTCGTCTCGATAACCCAGGAATCGAGAGACAGGCTTTGGAAGTCGACACAACCTTGAGGCAGGAATGAATGGGTTTATGTACTTGTCAATATCAAAGTTGAGACTCTGAAATGCTGGTAGAGGCATTTGAAATGGAGAGAAGCGCGACAGAGAGCGCCCATCAATCAAAGAACAGAGACCAAAGACGGAGGTCTAAAATCCTCAAGGAGATTCTACGGAAGGCAGATAGACTGAAAGGAGGAGGCAGAGGCCTCCTCTTCGAAACCACAACCTTGCAGCCGAGGGGACAAAGGAGCAGTGTGTACGCCATTTTTGTGACTTATTCGTCATGCGCCTTTCTAGGCGAGAAAGACGAGAAAAGATGACAAAAAGAGGGCTGTTATGGCGGCATCCACAGCTATTACTCCATCAAAATTGAAGAGTGGTTGGAAAATTTGCGGCTCAAGGGGGGTACTAGACTGACGTCTAGAAGCCGACATACTGATTACGTATTAGTCACTCTACCCTTGATCTACTCCCCTCCCTTTCTGGCTAGGACGGTAACTATACTTAAAAAGCCAAGTTGGTGAACTGAGAGCGTTTCCTCACCCAAGCTCTTTCATCTGGTAAGCAATCCCTGGCCTACGGACAATTCTCACACAGGTAGATACTTGCGCAACACTGATGGCTGGGGAATGCACTCCAAGTCATGGAGACGTTTAAAGATCCATGCTTGGTCATGCAGGTCCTCAGAGGTGGCTCTGATCACCTAGGATCAATAAGCCTCCAGCAACTTGAAAGTGTGATCAAGAAGAGCTCGTGATCAGGAGCACCCAATGAACCAGCACAGCTGGTTGATTGCCATTTCAAGTGACAACAAACTCTAGTGGAAAGAAAGAAGTGATTTTATACAGTACCAGGTGCATACTATGGTACCTTAATAACACAACATCAGTCTTCATGCAGTGACCAGCGAACTGAGATACACCCGGTGTACAGGTCAAGGACTGGCGTCGCCGTGTTATACCGTAGTAGATTCAAGGTCGAGGGTGGAGTAGGCGGAGTCTGGATATTAACGTAGTAAGTAATTGTTGAACTCAAAAATACGGTTTGTGCTATCCTGCTACGCGTTTCATATGCGTTTTGTTACAGACCTGTTACGCGTTTCGCATGTATTTTTGATATCTGCATTTCGCGCTATTTCTCTTGATATAGCAACTCTGTACGTATAAATGCTCGCTCTGCGCACTGAATTAGATAGAACAACTTGCTATTTCAACACTGATCCGTCGATTAGTCAGCAAGTTCGACAGTAATCTTGGAGCTTGCCGAGTGTCCAGCTACCTCCACGCCCAGAGCAATCCTCTCACAGACTCAGAAGATTGGAAGAAGGGAACTCATATATAAGATATGGATCTGGACTGATCATTAAAAGCAATTCAAGCAGCTTAAATCATCATAGTTACCAGTGGACTCTGGCACGAAAGTTCTCCCTCTTCATAGGACATCGGCTACCTCCGCCCGCTGTTTTCTACGCTTCCTATACTTACCCCTCTAGCCCTCAACCCTAGAAAGCCCAAAGTGCAAATCGATGTAGATCTATCTCTCCAAATACAACAATCCAAGCATGTGGAAATAGATATGCGCCATGCTGTCACACGGTGCAACTAGAGATCCACGGCAGCTTCCGACTAGTGAATGGCTTATCTCGCAGCATAATGTGAATTTAAATAGGCCAGGGTCAACCTGTCACAAACTGAAGCATTGTATCCCTTTTTGATACCCTATTACGACGAAAAGTGGTGAAAGAAGCCTCCACCCTAATTGTCAACCTACTCTGTCTGCTACCTTGCACGGACCCGACCTTGCTCTTGAGCCATGCCTAAGCTCGCTGCTGCCCGTTATGGAAAGGACAACATCCGTGTGTGCAAGGTGGAAAGGGACGAAGCGACGAAAACTCACATCGTGGTCGAAATGACTGTCTGTGTACTCCTAGAAGGCGAGATTGAGACATCGTAGGTCTTGTACAATTCTTATGTTTTTCGTATCAATGGCCAACACAGCTCTAGCTATACCGAAGCAGACAATAGCGTTGTAGTCGCTACAGACACCATGAAGAACACCACCTACATCGTGGCCAAGCAGAACCCAGTCACGCCACCAGAGCTCTTCGCCTCTATCCTTGGAACACACTTCATCGAAACCTACAAGCACATCCATACTGCCCATATCAAAGTCACCATCCATAAGTGGACAAGAATGATAATTGATGGCAAGCCACATCCCCATTCCTTCTTCCGCGACGGTGACGAGACGAGAATAGTCGAGGCGGACGTCATCGAAGGAAAGGGCATTGAGATTCGATCCGCAATCTCGGGCTTGTTAGTGTTGAAGAGTACCGGATCCCAGTTCCACAGCTTCGTGCGCAATGATTTCACCACCTTGCCTGACGTGTATGATCGGATCCTCAGCACGTCGGTCGATGCTGGTTGGACATGGAAGACGCTGTCGAGCGTGGACGAGGTCGAGACAGAGGTCGAGAAATTTGATGAAACGTGGACCAAGGCCCGCGATATCACTATAAAGACGTTCGCGGAAGACTCAAGCGCTAGTGTGCAGAACACCATGTACAAGATGGGCGAGCAAATCCTAGCGGCTGCTTCATCTGTTGAGGCTGTGGATTATTCCCTCCCCAACAAACACTACTTCGAGATCGATTTGAGCTGGCATCATGGTCTGAAGAACACAGGTGAGGATGCAGAGGTGTATGCGCCACAATCAAATCCCAATGGTTTGATCAAGTGTACGGTAACAAGGTAACCATGGCGGGGTGGCTTGGATGCCGAGGTCTTGAAAAACGGAAATTCTGCTCGAAGTACATACACCTAATTGAAAGCTCGAGTTGTCTTTTGATGCTTGTCATTCGCTGCGGTATGGAGATGTGGGTCACGAACTTGCAACTGGTGCTTCTTTGCACTCGAGGGCTTTGAGGACTTGGGGATTTTGGCCGACGTAAGTTTTGCCGTTGAACTTGATAAGGTTCTGCTTGAAGGGATGAGCAACACCTTCGAAGACTAGATAGCATATATTAGTATACCAGGAAACCAAGGTTGCACTGCAAACTTGACTAGCCTTTTAATCGTGCAAGCCTTTTATCACGCAATCTATTCTTTGGCAGCATCCCCCTGACTGCTTTTTTCAAGACTTCTCCTCCACCCCATTTGTCGAACATTTTGTCCATAGACATCTGCTTCAAACCCCCAGGACGCGTATTATGAGTGTAGTACTGCTTCTGATATCTCTTCTTGCCAGTAATGTGCAGATCGTGACAGCCTGCGGCTACGACATAATCCCCACAGTCAGTTGATGGATTCCAGATAGGCTTGTGCTTGCCCATAAGGAAGACAGCTATCGAGGAAGCCATTCGACCAAGCGGCCGAGGGTCAGTGCCAACATCAACAAAATGCCATGCTCGTGCGTAGGCTAGACGAGTCTGATAGCTTGATCAGAACAATTGACTCCTAACGAAGTGGTGATGTACTACCTTTCCCACAGTCTGTGACATTTTTGTTGTACTGCCAGTCGTAGATGTATTACTCCTAGTTGAACACAAGGAGATTCGGCTGGTGTCTTCTAAAGAGACCGTTAAGAATGGGGGGACAAGGTGTGAGTGCGACAATGGGTATAGAGTAGGGTCTTCATGGCGGAAGAAGCTTGAAATACTTGCTGCTGCTAGAAACTGCATTCCAATGGAAGTGATAGCAGTGTTGCCAAGAATCCAGTGCTTGGCGCCAGCTAGCGCGCACTTTCACCTCTACCAAATTTTGATCGCCTCGCGAGATATCACGTTTGTAAGATACTACCTTGGAATAAGACTATTTTCACCCCTATACTCGCAATCTGTCACCATGGCATCCACGCCGAGCGTGCAATGCTTCGGCAAGAAGAAGACTGGTATGCTAGTTCTTCAGAGATGAAGTAGGTAATGGCTAACATATCTATAGCGACCGCAGTCGCACATTGCAAGGTACAGCGAGATGTCAGCTGAGGGTGACCAATATTGACAATGCGAGCAGAAAGGGAAGGGCCTCGTCAAAGTCAACGGCAAACCTCTGTCGCTGGTTCAACCAGAAATCCTCCGATTTAAGGTAGCCACCACCCGCTTCTCATGCGCCAGTTTTCTCATTACCATAACTAGGTCTACGAGCCGCTCCTCATAGTCGGTCTCGACAAATTTGCAGAAGTCGATATCCGAGTCCGGGTCACTGGTGGTGGTCATACATCTCAGATCTACGCGATCAGACAGGCAATTGCGAAGTCGGTTGTGGCCTACTACCAGAAATTCGTCGATGAGTATGCGAAGAATCAGTTGAAGCAGGCGCTCGTGCAATATGACAGAACATTATTGGTGGCAGACAACAGAAGATGCGAGCCGAAGAAGTTTGGTGGACCGGGTGCAAGAGCAAGGTACCAAAAGTCATACCGCTGAGGTGGTTCTTTGTGATTTGGTGAAGGAATTGCTGGGCAGACCGTGATGTCTTCTTGACAGCACCAGAGCGAATTCTAGTAAAATGCGTTGAAATATGCCTGCATGTTTTAAACTCGCACATTCGAAGCATCATATGAACGACGATACTGGATTCGATCATGGGAGACCTTTCGACGACTGCTATTCTAGGTCAACCACTACAGGCGCATACTCCCCAGTCTCATCTTCCTCGTCCGCGCCATTCATGTCCATATCTACCCTCTCCCCATCCTCTAGCTCCAGCAGACCTCTCTTGAGTATATCCTTTCCAGTCTCCCACCCGTACTCATCCCTTAGGTCCTGTTCCAGTTGCTTGAGCTCGGTCTTCAACATTTCCCCGTTTGCAGTGCCAAACAATTCCTCAACATTCCTCCTAAATTGAGCTAATAGTCCTTTGAGCCACCCAGCCCCTTCCTCTTTGAGGTCAAACAATCCTCCTTCGACATCCTGACAATGCTTCAGCTGTATCCTCAACAGCCGCACTACGGCTACAAAATAATCCCCCACCTCCACCAGGGCCTGCCGACAGCTCAGCAGAACGCCCAGTATCCTCTTCCATTGCTCCAAGCACGACCAATTCGCCAATGTCAGGATCATAAGAAAACACAACTGCAACTCTCCCAGCAATTGCGCCGCTCCCACTCTTTTATCACCACCAGACTCAACAGCCAACTCAATCAATTGCCCAAGATACCATGACCGATCTCTCACCGCATCGGTGCGTTCCCTGCCCACCGCACCCTCTCGCCATGTCCTCTTCAGATCTATCGGCAAGAACTCAAGCTGCTTCTCGCCTTCGATCACTGCTTCTGAGGTGGTAAGACCAGGGATCTTCTCGACATCCTGCGGCGCGCTCGACACGGAGGATATGCTCCAGGATCTTCTACTAGCTGGACCTCGTTTCCCCGCCCGGTCTTGACTTGCGACTGCGCCGAGCACTCTATCCAACAAGTCATCTGTGATATACTCTGTTAATTCCCTCCACTCACTCCCTAACTTTCCTCCCTCTTTCCTGCTCCCAGGTTGCGTGTAATCGAGTAGACCTCTCTCCCACACCCTACCTAAATCTGCCTGTGCACTCTCAGTGTCGGAAACATCCGCTTCCGGTATCAAGCACTCGTTCTCCCCACTCCATCGCCAAGGTATAATCTTCGATTCATACTGCCCTCCTTCCGTTGCTGGTGTGGGAGCTGGAATGAAGAACCAGTAGCCATGACGAGTAGAAAGTGATGCGTCGGAACTGGAGTAGAGGAAGTGGTAGCCTGGTGGGAGGTTCTTGATACCCTGAAGTTTAGGAGAAGTGGTCAGGGAGAGGAGGTCTAGGCCGAGGAAGGCGTTGTTGGGCAGGGAGTGGAAGATGAGGGTTGGCATTGGAGGGGTGGATGTGGATGGTGGTGGTGGCATTAGCGCGGGTGGATATAAACAGTGGAGAGTTCGTTGAGAAGGTTGGACTCAAGATGCACGGAAATGCTCTCAATCTCGTCTTCTTATGGAGCTTGAATTTCCCAGAATGAGAGGTAAATGGTATCACTCTTACATTTCTGCACTACTCGTAAGAAAGGGGCGAATATAGGATGACTTATCACTATGAAAATGATTGCATTGTCGACCCTACAAAATAGAATTTTGAAGGTTTCATTGCTCGACTGCTGCTACACTGCATGACCGCAATGTGCAAATATCGTAGGCAAGGTGAAGACCAGGCCAAGGCCGTTCTTCGCGTTTCTTGTAATATCCTCCGCACCTAGAGAACAGCATACGTTGGAGAAGTCTCGCTCAAAGACGACGACCACGACGACCACCCTTGCGTCTTGTTGAGTCTGATGGTGTTGGAGTGACATCCTCTATTCTACCAATCTTCATGCCTGAACGTGCTAGCGCGCGGAGAGCGGATTGAGCACCAGGGCCTGGAGTCTTTGTGCCATTGCCTGTTTGTGGTTATGAGTATAAGTCCGCACGTGGTGATTGCCGGAGTATGCCTACCTCCTGTGGCTCTGATCTTGATATGTAGTGCGTTGATTCCGAGTTCTTTGCATCGTGCAGCTACATCCTGGGCTGCCAACATGGCTGCGTAGGGAGATGACTCGTCTCTATCAGCTTTGACCTTCATGCCGCCTGTCACTCTGCAAATGGTTTCTCGGCCACTGGAATCACCCAGATTGTTAGCCTGTGGAGCCACATGGTGTTGCCCTCGGTCACAGATCGGGTTGTTGAGAAGACAAAGAAATTCTCGAATTTGGTGGTTAAACGGACCTGAGATCGGTGACATGGACGAAGGTATCATTGAAAGAGGCGAAGATCCGGGCTACACCAAAGACATTTTCACCTGCAGAAAGACGTCAATTCTATACATGACTATGACAAAATTTGCAAACCTTCTCGAACTTGAGGACCGAGAGATATATTCTCAGTCGCGGGGCGTTCAACCTTCTTCTTGGGAGGCATGTTGACTGTGACGGAGAGATGAGGCAACGCTATATCATCGATGGGACGTAAAAATTTATTGTCCTTTCGATTGTAGAAATTCAATGTGGGATGTCGCTCTTGAGGGCTAGATCGCCAAGGATCTTGTATTTCTCTTGGTAACCAATACCCAATCTAATTTCAAGACCACAAAAATTTACTACATGTCTATTCTTCACTCAGAAACGACTGTGATGCGAAAATAAACGTTGAACGCTGCAGGAACCAATACTAAAACAAGTCCAATTTGTATGACATGATCAATCGTGGATCGATTGCTGTTCTTTTATGTTGCAAGCTTGAATGTCTCCTTTCGAGACCTGAGGTCTGTGTGAATACTCTTACGTGAGTGGAGCTGGCGCCATGGACCACATCTCAGTGGGTATAATTGGCATGGGGGACATGGGAAAGATGTACGCAGAGAGAATTAGCAATGCGGGTTGGAGGTAATACTCTCTCAGGCAACTGTCCCCCTTGGCAGAGCTTTTTCTACGGTATGTTGAACTTTCCTTTACTCTACCCTACTATTCAAGGATGACTTGAGTGCATTTGGCTCGAGCATGGCTGCTAATCATTGCCTCATCATTCTGGTGGAGCGGATTGATACGCAAGCTGTCACTGATGTAAAAATCTCGCTACCTTATCATAAACATTTCTGAAGAACCCACAACCTTACTACTTTTCAAAATGTTTGTGGTAAACTTCGCTAATGAAACGCTCTAGGACGGGCATAACATGTGCATGGACCTTGGAAATGCAGTACTAACACCTCTGTCAGAGTGAACGCTTGTGATACTCCAGACAAGTATGATGATCTGCTCGCCCAATTTGCGGGTCAGGTTCGTTGAGGCATGAGTAGAATATAGCACTGGCTGACATGAGAACTAGGACATGGTCACTGTTATGCCTAATGGACATCTGGTGTCTCGTAGCAGCGATTGGATTATTTATAGTGTCCCGGCAGAGGGTATTGGCAAGATTGTCGCAGAATTTGGACCCTCAACCAAGCTGGGTGCGATCGTTGGAGGCCAGACTTCCTGCAAAGCCCCTGAAATTGCTGCTTTCGAAAGTTACCTTCCGAAGGACGTGGAGATCATTTCATGTCATTCCCTGCATGGGCCACAAGTTCATCCAAAGAGTCAACCCCTAGTCATAATTCCACACCGAGCGTCTGAAAAGAGTGTGAAATTGGTCGAGAGTATCCTCTCAAGCTTTGAATCGAAGATTGTTCACCTTTCCGGCGACAAGCATGACAGGATCACAGCAGACACGCAGGCCGTGACACATGTGGCATTCTTGAGCATGGGTAGTGCATGGCGGGCAAATAATCAATTTCCTTGGGAGATCAACCGGTACGTGGGAGGCATCGAAAATGTAAAGATCAACATTACGCTTCGCATTTACTCCAACAAGTGGCATGTATATGCTGGTCTCGCGATACTAAATCCATCAGCTCAACAGCAGATTCGCCAGTACGCAAAGTCGGTCACAGAGCTGTTCAAGCTTATGATTGGAGGGCATCGAAAAGAACTTGAGAACCGTGTCAAGACAGCAGGTGCAACCATCTTCGGAGATGTCGTCAAGGGACACGAGCTCTTGCTACGAGACGACATTCTGGATAAGTTCTCATTGTCAGGACCAAAGGAACGAATGCCGAATAACCATCTCAGTCTGCTGGGGATTGTTGACTGCTGGTGGAAGTTGAACATCAATCCGTACGACCATATGATCTGTTCGACACCTGTGAGTGTAGCGCAGCGAGTACACTGCGAGTCATGCTGACCAATGAAGCTCTTCCGAATATGGCTGGGTGTGACCGAGTACCTTTTCCGGAGCGAGCAACTACTTGATGAGGTGATCAATACGGCGATAGAAGACGACACGTTTCGATCGGATGACCTGGAATTCACGTTTGCGGCAAGGGTAAGCAGGCCCTCATGTACTTTCCAGCCTACATAAGAATCAGGACGCTCGCCCACTCGTTTTCTGTTTACTTCAATGTAATTGGGATCCGACCCTGCAATTGCGGTTTTCTTCAAGATCGCGAGTTCTCTGTGTTAACGCAACATTTCGCAGGCTTGGTCTGACTGCGTATCCTTCGGTAATTTCGATTCTTACAGGGAAAGATTTGAGGAGATTCAAAAACATTTTGAACCACGCTTTGCAGACGCAGTTCGGCTAGGTAATGAAATGATTAAGACAATACTGGAGAAAACAACTTCGGAATCAGGCAAGTAAGTTGTACTGATTGGCTTTGTTACTGCTGAATCAAAATGCCTCTATCGGTTTTCTATTTCTCTCACATGATGTCCTCCATAGCAATGTTTAGCGCCTTAGCCTGCATATCATAATCTGGTGTTGCGCTACTTATCGAGTGCCACCCAAACCTCTCCTCAGAAATAGGTTTGGTGTCAACAAATGCACCGAGATAGACTTATCTACGATGAGATGGTTGACCGGACTATACGCGCAGTGATATGCAGTGATGGACTAACTTAGCTGATACAATCCCATGTCAAGTTTCATGGCTTGTAGGAAGGGAAGTCCGATATAAGTATGACTTTCTATTACATTCGAAAATCCTTCAAATCGTGGTGATTCATGATCTGGTTGTCGTACTTGAGCAAGTCGACCTATCCTAGCAGCACCCCTACATTTCAGTCTTCCAGTCGACATTCCTACCGTCAAAATGATGCGGACAGCGCTGGACATGGTAGAGCTTCATTTCACATTATCATTTCACTCTAACCCCTGAGCAGACGCGTAAAAGGTGGTGGCTGAGATGATATCACTGTTCGGATCAGGTTAGCGTGTGCTACCTTGGCGACTAGCCCTTTGTCCTCCTGCAATAGCGGTAGGCTACGGAGTATCTTGCGTGTTCCCGTGTTCCATCTGACCTGCGCTGCGAGTCTCCTGCACCGGAAGGGACGTAAGAAGATCACGCCAATGTGCGCATCGGCTTCTCGTCTGGACAGATATAACCATGGTCGAGTCAGCATTCCAGGCTCATTGTACAACGCGACCTGTTCAGAGGTCTTCCGGCCCATTCCTAATGCTCTATGCCACAACAAATACCTATGACGCCTGACTGCAATCTCCAATCTAAGTTTGTTGAAACAGCTCGAAAGCATTTCCCTCGAACCAGCCGGACCCTTGCGAGTATTAGTCTGCGAGCTGAAGAGACTGGTCAGGACCCCAGGAGCTCCCCGGGCTGTATATACCTTCCGTGGTCCACTTTTCGTAGCTAGGACCGACCAATACAAGTACACGGATCTGGGCGGGTTCCTGGAGCTCTCATGATGCATTTCTTTGCAAGGTCAGTGGTTGCTCTAGTGGTGTGTATTGGTGAGTAGACTATCTGGTGTCATTTGCTGGTGAGCTAACTTATTGCAGTTGTTGGCATTGTCAATGGGCAGGTCCAAGTTGCGACCTACGTCCCTCAAGGATCGGACGCAAATGGCGTCTCATATTCAGTAAATATTCCATCGTCGACAGCCCAATCCGGTAATGGACCGATTTATATACAAATGGTAGCGCCCTCTGGAACGCAATGGCTGGGTTTGGGCCAGGGAAGCGGGATGGCAGGTGCAAACATGTTTGTGATGTACTCGTCAGGAAGTAACAACGTTACCCTCTCCCCCAGACTAGGCAGAGGCGAATTTCCACCCGAAGTCAACCCTGCAGGCGAAATTACTCTCCTGGAGGGCACTGGAGTATCGGCTGAAGGTGTTATGACGGCAAACATTCGTTGCGATTCTTGCATCACATGGGATGGAGGATCAATGAGCCCTACGAACGGAAACAGCAATTGGATATGGGCCATCAGACAAGGGAACGCATTGGACTCGGGCGATATCTCAGCACAGATTCGACAGCATGACGCGTACGGCGCCTTTACTTTCGATTTGCCTGCTGGCACTAGCAGTGACTCGTCCAATCCTTTCGTGCAGGCAGCTGCTGTCACGCAGAGCGCAGGATCATCCGAACCGTCAAGCCCAGGAGACAGCGAAGCAAGTTCAGGCGAGTCTTCATCGCGTTCATCTGGAAGCTCCTCTGGGAGCTCCTCTGGGGGTCAATCAAATACCGACCAGATCAGAATGTCGCATGGGACCATCATGGCCGTGGTCTTCCTCTTTTTGTTCCCTATCGGCGCTTTGATGATTTACCTACCCGTCAGCCGTAGGGTACCATACATTCACGCACCGATTCAGGTTGTCTCTACCTGCCTCCTCATTGTTGGAATGATTCTTGGTGTGATCCTCGGTGTCCGCATCGATGAAGACGACGGATACCATCAGATCATTGGGTACATTGTTGTCAGTTCTTTGCTACTGTTCCAGCCTGCCCTTGGGCTCATTCAACACTTACGCTATCGCAAACTCGGTAAACGAACAGTTTTCGGGCATATTCATCGTTGGCTTGGGCGCATCCTCATCCTGTTGGGAATCATTAATGGCGGATTAGGTCTTCACATATCGGGGGAGATTGGGAGTGAGCAGGTTCCCAGGTGGTCTGTGATTGCTTATAGTGTAGTCGCTGCTGTTGTTGGCATAGTTTATCTTGCTCTCGCATCGGGCGTTGGGTTTTCCCGAAAGCGAAAGGGTGGGTCAAAAGAGGAGACGGAGTTAAATGGCAATGCCAGTGGGGATATGGGTACGAAATAGCAGTTCACAGATCATTTCACCAATTTATTTACGATGTCTCCTGCTGATGTGAGCGCATAAGCTGCTCCATCTAATCCTCGATGATTTTCAACCCAATTGACTCGAATTGGTACTGATCGTCGGCAGCGCCGGGTCACGAGGGTATCCGTCGTTGATTCCTTCATCCCGCAGGAGCAAGCAACGGGCATTTCCGCAAGTCAAAGTCCGGCTTTGACGGTTCTCAGGCTCCATTTCGATGCCAACAATGTTTCCCAGTACTTAAGTAAGCTGGGTGGCCATGCCATTAGAAATTCCCCTCTGAAGTATCCAGGCCGTATAAAGACATGTTCGCGGGGTCGGTGGTAGGGTGGCTCATCATCGTACGGTGCCTGTCTGCGGGTGAGAACTTTATCGCGCTCCCTTGCAGACGAAATCGCTCAAACCCGCAAAGAAAGCGGCAGAGCTTCAGAAGCTCCCTGTCCGTAGCGGCCTGAGTATGATCGTCAATTGGCTTTATTTCTTCTCGCTCTAGGATCTTCACCCCGAGAGAGTCAAGCTGTTCTCTTTAAAGCCAAATCACAACTCACCATGCATACGCATTGTGTATCGTCGACCAGGTAGCGACAATGGAAATGACGCTCTACCTTGAGGCGTCAGGGCTCTGGCAGCGGTTTGCGATGTGTTATATGCATCCCCACCTCTTTCCTTGTCAGCCAAATGAGCAAACGACCTCTTCACCTTTACTGAGGTCTAGAAGCATTTTGTGCCAAAACTGCTCTGTTCTTTCTCCTCTACACTGAGTACAGAACACCTCCACAAACAAAGCCTCCGTTAAGCCGCCTACGGCTTTCCTACACAGGCCAATTGGCTCGGATTAACAAGAAAAATCATTACGATGTTTGGTACCAAGCCATATTTTGGCTTGAAGGCAGGATGGCTTACGTTCTGGGTGAGCTCACAATTCTTCGTGCAAAATAACTAGATACTGACAGCCTGATGGATTACCGTTGCATGCGGCACTGTGAGTTCCCTTTATTCCCGTGGGAAATGGTTCTCCGCTAAATTCTATGATAGGACATGACCCTGTATGGTAATGCACTGGAGATAAGAGTGTGGTAGATACTAACGCATATCACCCGGAAAGCTTTGGTTATGACCAGGTAAGCTCGGTGAACTTTCGAGATCGTTCGGTCTGCACGCTGCTAATCGAATCAGGGTGTATTTGGTTCGTTGGGTCTTCTACCCTTACGACGTAGTCTGTGGGTTCTGACTGGGGCACTATCAAGGCGGTGTGATTGTTACCGATGACTTCTTGAACAGTATGTATATGCAGAAGCCCCAAAGGTCAGCGACTAACACATCTCAGCGCTGGGTTTGAACGGACCCCAGCACGTCAGCACCGTTTCGTACGTCCGACATGCCCTTTCTCCCATACAGCTCGACTTACTATGTTAGAACCGTCACGGCAATCTACGACGTTGGCTGTTTCCTTGGCGCTTGCTTCTCGATCTGGTATGGAGAAAAATTCGGAAGAAGATTTACCGTTCTTACCGGAACCACCATCATGTCGATCGGCGCCGTTCTCCAGATTGCTGCATACGGCGTACCTCAGATGATAATCGGTCGGATCGTTGGGGGCATTGGTAACGGGATGAATACTGCCACCGCCCCAGTGTGGCAGTCGGAAACATCCCAAATTAAATGGAGAGGCAAGCTCGTGGTGCTCGAAATGATCCTCAATATTGCAGGGTTCTCCATCTCTAATTGGGTGACTTATGGTACGAGACCCAGTTCATGCACAGTCGGAGTATTCATAATTGACAACACTTTACTATCAGGGTTCAGCTTTTTGGGCGGGCCGATCAGTTGGAGATTCCCATTAGCCTTCCAATTCGTCTTTATTTTCATTCTTTTCGCAACAACACCATGGCTCCCCGAATCACCTAGGTAAGTCCATGGTTCCAATCGTGGGTCATCTGACATGTTTAGATGGCTCATTGCACATGAACGGGAGGACGAGGCATTCGAGATCCTTGCCGATCTTGAGGGTAAAGACCCAAACGATCCCTTCATTCTTACGCAGCACAAGGAGATCGTATACGCCGTTCAATACGAAAAGAAGAATGCAATTCCATGGTCCAAGCTACTCATGGGAAAGACTGGTTCGGGGGGAGGCACGAAGACCATGCGACGAATTATCCTTGGTGCGGGAACTCAAGCAATGCAGCAGGTATGTCCCGCCAGATTACTGTATAATGATGGATCTGATTTCATGTTCAGCTTTCTGGCATCAACGTAACAAGTTGTGAGCAGCAAGGTGTCGGTTTGTTGAGTTCAAGCATGCTGACGTTTTCGAAGACTATCTGCCAACTGTCTTAATTGAATCGGTTGGGCTTGAAAATAGCCAAGCTCGTCTCCTCGCCGCCTGCAACTCCATCTCATATCTTCTGTTCAGTTTCATCGGCATACCCAACGTCGAACGATGGGGTCGTCGCAAGATGATGATGTATGCAGCAGCGGGTCAATGTTTCTGCTATCTAATGATTACCGTCCTGCTTCGCCACACCGAGATTCCCAGCTATCCAGAAGAAAAGCAAGCCAAAATTGCATCCGCCTCTATCGCTTTCTTTTTCCTTTACTACGTCTTCTTTGGCATCGGATGGCAGGGGGTTCCAGTATGGCTAGGCTGGTTCCGAAACGTGCCATCAGGACTAACAAGGTTTATAGTGGTTATATCCAACCGAAATCAACTCCCTCAGTATGAGAACCAAAGGGGCTGCCATCGGTACCGCAACAAATTGGATCTTCAACTTCATGGGCATGTGGTCTCCATTCATCTCAGATCTCGGTTTACTGATTCGGTGAACTAGTTGTGGAAATTACTCCCCCGGGCATCCAGAGCCTTCAGTGGAAATTTTATATGATCTGGACCGTATTCAATGGTGCATTTGTACCGATCGTTTATCTATTCTATCCCGAAACTGCCGACCGTTCGCTAGAAGACATTGACCGTATGTACCGTGAGAATCCGAAGCTCCTTGTCTTCCGCGACAAGTCCATCACAAGTTCCAAGCGACCTATGGAGTACATTCAACACGAGGAAGAACAACTCAGACGTAACGGCTCTGTGGACCCTGCAATGCTCAGAAGAGGAAGCAAAATCACGTCACCAATCCCCAACAACGAGGACACGGATTATATTGAGCATAATGTCGTTGCTGAGGATAAGGTCTGAGTCAACTCCACCAACCTCGTTTGAAGGAAGTAAACAAAGCGCAGTCGCTGAAGGATTGTCTCGGACTACACTAGATTGGATTTAGACGCAACGCAGGCAGTATTGATGCCTTTTTCTGCCCTTGGTAGCGGCACCTCTGATCCTCTGACCCTGTGAGCCCATGGGTAGACGTACTTGTCATTCCAGGCCATTCTCCAATGGATACATTCAGATTGTTGAAGTTCTCACTCTGTGGTGTTGTGCATACTCCTATCTAGATTTTCTAGTAGCTACCTAATAGGGATTTACTGTGCCAAAACACAGGAAATCAGGACACGTGATATGTCAAAGTGGCGCTAAGCCGCTTTGGGATTTGGCTGTACATGTACAGCCAAATCCCAAAGCGGCTTAGCGCCACTTTGACATATCACGTGTCCTGATTTCCTGTGTTTTGGCACAGTAAATCCCTATTAGGTAGCTACTTCAACAATAGCTCAATACTAACGTACACTACCACTTGGCGAGACACCCCACTTGGCGAGACGGTTTTTCGCGCAGCGCGTTCGGCAACACTCAAATTTCGAACAGCTATAGCTCTACCAAAATAGCTCGAAATGGACTCAAACAAGGAGCATTCTATTCAGCAGGCCTCAAATGACGTTGATCTAGGCCTATTTGACTCAGTTCGTAAAGCTGCGAGCTATTACGACGTTCCAAATTCGACCCTGGCCCATCGACGCGCAGGGCGACCCTCTATAGCAGAAACTGATCGCATTTCACAACGGCTATCAAAACAAGAAGAAAAAGTGCTGATTCAATACTTCCGAGATCTACAAAGGCAGCATTTATGCCCGAATTACGCTCAAATTCGACGAATGGTTACTAAATTGCTCCATAGCAAGGGGGATAAGATTCAATTAGGCAAGCACTACGTGGAGCGTTTAATAGCTCGCCATCCAGAGCTTAAAACGCGGCGAAATCGACTAATGGATATCAAACGACTCATGGCCCTTGATTGAGCGTTTTTTGGCCGAATTTGAACAGCTCCGCAGCTAATACGCAGTCGAGCCGCAAGATACCTATAATATGGACGAAACAGGGTTTCAGATAAGGCAAATAGCATCAAAATACGTTATTTTTGACCCTGCTATAGGTCGTCCAGTGGCTCCGGCATCAGATAACACTCAATGGGTCTCTATTATTGAGTTTATGAATACTGAAAAGGCTATTAAGCCTTATCTTATCTTCACCGGCAAGAATCCTGAGCATCATATGTTTCCAGAGCATAAGGAGCTCCCTGACGTTATATAGGCCTTTTCTCCTAAGGGATGGACTAACGAAGAGCTAGCTGTTGATTGGCTGCGTCAGATATTCGTTCTAATTGCGTCAAATGGCAAGCATATCATCCTAATACTTGATAGCCAAAAGAGTCATATTACAAGCGAATTTCAGTATTTCTGCCTCGAAAACAACATCCACCCTCTCTATTTATCTGTACACGCTACTCACAAGCTTCAACCTCTTGACGTGAGTCCATTTTCGCCACTTTCAAGCGCGTATAGCCGCGCAGTTAAAGAATACGCTCTAACCGGTATAGCAGCACTCAATCAGAGTATTCGTATCTACCTCTACTACCCTGAGTCCCTCTTCATTGCCCTCAAAACTGCCCTTCACCTTGCCCACAAACGGCATGGCTACCTGACTCAACCCCATCGGCCCGTCGTCGTCATTCCCTCCCGCGTTCACAAAGACAACACAACAAGTATTCTCGAATGCTCGCACCGTCAATGCTGATTCCACAAACAACGCCTCGTAGTCCTCGAACTCGACGCTCTGTACGCAAGCTCAGCCACGCAGCTATTCAAGAGCATGCTGGCGCGCAGTTGCTTCAAAATGAGCTCAACAATTTACGCAAGCAATCTCATCAGCAAGAGGTCAAAAAGCGCTCAAAACGCATGCTAAAAGAGAGGGTGCAGCGTTCGTGGAATCTTGAGGAGGTCAGGGCTGCCAAAGAGGGCAGGGCGCCCTCCAGGGTGCAAATTACGCACCGTGGAGAGGATTCGCTACGCATAAGAATTCTCTCAGATAGGCTTAAATAGGAAGTATCGTCAGCTTCATTATTTCCTTAATTGGACGTGGATGTTGGGCCATTTGAGTGATAGAATTACTGCGTAAAGTGTGTGCAAACTGTCTCGCCAAGTGGGGTGTCTCGCCAAGTGGTGGTGTACGTTAGATCTCAACTATCCCCGAGTTACGTAAAGGAGTGCCGAAGACCCCGTATTTGCCTAATCCCTCAACCGTGTCACTTATCACAGCTCAGAGCTGGTTTGTGTCATTCATAAACCACGGGTTTTTTTTCTGGTGCCTTACGTACCTGGATTCTTTCTTTAAACCCACATGCGACGGCATCATGTGCAATCAAGTCTCCTGCAACAGTACCGTTTGTCGCGACCACCACGATGCATACCGGGACGTCCTCTAGGAAGCATTCCCAAGTTTTGGTTAGGCGATATGTCAGGACGGTCTCCTAGACCAAATACTTACAACAAAGGCAGCTGCAAAACTGATATCAAACAGCGCAAATCTTGTGATTGATTGGGTCGTGGAGCGAAAGCAGTACTCACAGTCTATAGAATCACAATCATGGAGAAGAAAGAAAACAAGAGGGACTGCAATGCTGGCAGACATACCTCATCCAACATCTCTATCTCCGGAAAGGAGTATGAAACCCTGGTACCCCTGGTCAAGCCCGGTGCGCGAGCTGCCTTCTGACGTTGCTTGCAGCCGCAGTATAGGCTAGATGATGCCAATTCCGCTCTGTCTTGCTCGATATGGGAAAGTCACCTGGATTGCTGAACGTGAGGATTTGCTGATCAGTCTAGAAGTATATTGTTACCGAAAGTTGGATAGTGCCTTTAGTGCTGGACTGCCACCGAAGGCTGTTCCTATTAGCAGGAGGCTATTGTGGCAAGATCATTTACACATAGGTACAAGACAGGGGTTGGAGGGCCTCTGGGGCAGTTCTGACCGGTCCACTGAAGCTGCTGTCTTTGTTCCTGAAACAAGCCACACGTGTTTGGTGGACACCAAAAGCCCTTAATACCTATGTCACCCAGCAAGAACTAGCAGTGCCAAAACCAGATGTTCACAGCTATGAGGACGAGGAGGACCCTTGTTGCCACGCATGATCGCGCGAGGCGAAGCAGACCCGTTGGTCCATCCTGGGACGACATTCCCTGGTCAAGGACAGTGTATCCATCAAATCAAATAAACGAAAAACGAAATCATGGCCCCCATTTGATTTGCCCGTCTAATCCCAGCGGTCGATTTGATTTGATTTGGCTCGTTTGGCCAATAGAGTCAAATGTTAATAAGTAATGTTTTATTAAGAGGACTGTGAAGGATTTTCATCTCACGGACAGAGTCCGCCAAGACTCCTATCTTTTAATTAAAGAAGACTTTTAATTTTTGAAAGAAAAGGACTTTTTTCTAGGCATTTGATTCGATTGATTTGACCCGGATTCGAATGAACACACTGGTCAAGGAAGGAGTCCAACCTGAAGGCGTTTATCTTGGGAGGTGACCACTAGTACTATCGCTATCGTGAAGGTCGCTATGGCTGCGGCAACCTTGCACTACCCTGAGCAAAGCACTATCTACATGTTTGGCAGAAATGTGCCTATCCTCCAACTTCCATTCTGCAAGAACCACGCAATGCAGATACCGGTCAGGTCAGCACAAGAAATCGACGTAGGGTGCGACTCGTGATCTGGCGAGCCGTCATGCAGAGGCCAACATAGGAAGTCAATCAATTCGTGACAACCTGGAGCACATCCACCAGCTCGAGGATATTACGCTCAAGTTCATGAATGATGAAATGTATATCACTCAACTCCAACTACAACGCCGCCACCGCTCGCTCATGTATGCATTTACGCTTGAAGTACAAGCCATACACATCGGCTACTACCCAGATGCGTGTTAAAGATCGTTGCCAGATGCTTCAACAACAGCAGGTCGGAATTTCGATGTACCTGAGAGGAAACTCGCCAAACTTAGTGTGTCGTCAAACAATAGATTACAGCCGCTTGTGAACGATGACCCTGATGGGGATGATGATACCCAAGATGGCGGCGTACATGTCATGGAGCATATTCGCCCTGGGCGACGTCGACCGGCACTTGCTTTGGCTGCCTGTCGGAGAGCATATGTCGGGCACCACCATCCAGGAAAGCCAAGCATGGCCAGAAGCAAAAAATAGTTGTTCAGCCACGGCGTCTATCTAGTCAATCACTCGAGGAAAAGTACAGCAGCGGCTTCTGCACGAAGCGAGAGGGGACAGAAGCGTGTTCAGCTGCCGGATACATTCATCTTGGTGTCATTGTATGAGCTCTTAGCGAGAATGACGATACCTCAATCACCGACCACAAGCATTACGACCATCACTTCCTGCCATGACTGTACCCATAATGCCAATCCTCCCTTCCCATATCCTCTCTAACCTTATAATGCCTCTCAGCCTCTTCCAAAATCTCCGTATCTACCTCTACTACCCTGAGTCCCTCTTCATTGCCCTCAAAACTGCCCTTCACCTTGCCCACAAACGGCATGGCTACCTGACTCAACCCCATCGGCCCGTCGTCGTCATTCCCTCCCGCGTTCACAAAGACAACACAACAAGTATTCTCGAATGCTCGCACCGTCAATGCTGATTCCACAAACAACGCCTCGGCCTTTGGGTTCAGCCGCAGCCCTTCGACCATGCAGTCACTAGCTGTCCAGAAGGTGGGGATGATTATTATCTTTGCGCCTTGCTGGACCAGGGCACGGAATGCTTCTGGAAATGCGAGGTCCCAGCAGATCAGGATACCTACGGGACCTAGTGGGGTGGCGAGGACGGTATGGGGTGTAGAGAGTGAGGAGGGGGTCAGGTGGGGACGTTCAGGGTGCCAGAGGTTGATTTTGGTGTAGGTGCCAAGGATTTCTCCTTTATCTGAGATGAATGTCGAAACGTTTAGGAGGGAGGGTTGGTTTAGCGAGCCAGGTTTGGTGGAATCACAGGTGGATTTGAAGCTCGAGTCTGCCTGGACAATAGTGCCAGGGACGATGTTGATATGCAGTTCACGGGCAAGGGATTGGTATTTCTGTATCCAGGTCTCCCAGTCTAAGGCATGGGTAGTGAGTGCATTGGAATCAGCAACCCAGCCGGTGAGGTGATACTCTGGGAGAACGGCGAGATCTGCACCTTGGGCGGAAGCTTCACGGATGAATTGAGAGGCTCTATGGAAGTTGGAGGTGGGGTTGAGGGGCTACAGGCACAACCAACAGTTAATGACCTTTTCGGATCATGGGCCGGTTTTAGAGACAAACCTCGGGTGCCAGTTGTATCAAGGCTGCTTTGAAGATAGGAGACATGACTGCACCGGCTGCTGATCGAGATACTCCATTCTCTGGAAGCCTTGGTGTCCTTCCCATTGTCATCTCCAAGAAAAGGGTCCGTTAGATAAGATGAACGCTAAGATAACTCTAAGCGGGTAGCTTGGCTTGGCTTGTGCTAGATTCTAACTTAGGGCTTAGAGCGCGAAAACCCTCTGGACCATATTCGCTGCATCGGCGGCGACGACGACAACGACAACACATTGCCACAAAGGGCCTTGTCTGCGCTCCCACAGACTTGAGCAGATCTCCCAGTCTATTCGGCTGCTTCTCTCCCTGTGTTTCGGTGTCCCTAGCGTCTCTGTTGCCATGATGGCGTTCGTCAATGGAAATCAGTCTCTTCAGCTTAACGATGAGTCGGACGTGGAGGAAGAGGCTCTTGTCAACGACTACAAGTAGGGCTTCATGCCCCATGAGATGGTACGGATATTTACAATCTGGCTAGAGAACAAGTGAACTTCGACGATGCGCAAAGCGATATCGAACAGGCCAGCTCCATAGGAGCTGGAGCAACAGACATCCAAGCACAGCTCGCCGCAGCAGCGACACCCCTAGAATACCAAGCTACTCTCGAGACCAAGTTTGCCAGTTACGACAATTATTGCTCTCTTTTCCACTACATCCTCAACTCGGAAGGACCCGTCGACTTGGAAGTACCAAATGTATGTACGCACCTGGCTCCTTTTATAGCTCACCACTCATCTACCTCAAATAGTACTTCTGGGCTTGGGACGTCATCGACGAGTTCATATACCAGTTTGAGTCCTTTTGCCGTTACCGAAACCGTGTTGCTCGTACTGCCCCCCACGAAGACGAAGCGCAGCTCCTCCGCGAAAATCCCAACACATGGGGCTGCTACTCTGTTCTGAACGTTCTCTACTCCCTCATACAACGATCTCAGATAAACGAACAGCTTGCCGCACAAAAAAGAGGAGAAGATGCTATGGCAGTCGTGGGCGATTATGGGACGAGACCGCTCTACCGAATGTTGGGCTATTTCTCGATCATCGGTCTTCTCCGAGTGCATTGTCTCCTAGGAGATTTCAGCCTGGCCCTGAAAACCCTAGATGACATCGAAATGAACAAGAAGGCCATGTTTGCGCGCGTCATGGCAGCTCATTTCACAACATACTACTATGTTGGCTTCAGCTACATGATGCTTCGCCGCTACGCCGACGCAATACGCATGTTCTCCCACATCCTTGTCTACGTCAGCAGGACGAAAAATTTCCAAAAAGGAAGCAATAACTTCGACGCAATCGCCAAGAAGAACGATCAAATGTACGCACTCATCGCCATCTGCGTGAGCTTTGTACCAACAAGATTAGACGACACGATCCACACAGCGCTACGGGAGAAATACGGCGAAGGGCTAAACCGATTACAAAGGGGCGGCCCCGAAGCCCTTCCCCTATTCGAAGAACTCTTCCGGAGCGCTTGTCCCAAATTTATCTCTCCCACCCCACCAGACTTCGACAACCCATCTTCCAACATCGACCCGGTGGACCACCAAACAGCCATCTTCATGGACGAAGTCAAAAACACCATCTACAACCCGACCGTGAAATCGTATCTCAAACTCTACTCGACTATGGATCTGAAGAAGCTATCTTCCTTTCTGGAGGTCGAGCCAGAACAGCTGAGGAGCTGGCTGCTGGTGAATAAACAGCGGAGTAGGCAGACGAGGTGGAGCGAAGGCGGGCTGCTGGAGGGGGAGGTTGTCAATGCAAGTGAATTAGATTATGCGGTGGAAGGAGAATTGATCCATGTCAGTGAGGCGAAGCAGGGGAGGCGGCTCGTGGATTGGTATTTGAGGAACTTAGCGAGGGCGTATTAGAAGTGGGTTGGACAGGGAGAGAGAGAGCCGTTCGTTGGTTTGAGAGAGACGAGACGCAGATCAAGCGCTCCGAAAATGGCCGATTCTGTCTGTCTAGGAAAAGAAGCTGGCAATGATTCGATGCCTGACTACGGCATAGAACAGGACCGGCAAATGGCACTACCCGTCGTTCCTCCTCCTCCTCCTCCTCCGAGCACGTTCCAAGGCCCAAAAAACCTGGAAGGGTAGCGCACACGCGCTCAGCCCAGCGTCTGTCTGTTTTTCACACAACCGGAACGGAGACTTCAAGTTTCAACCTGCTCGGCCCTGCACCTCCCGCCCACAGAACCGGACCATATATTACCCGCCAACTGGCATACGCAGCCGCAGCAGCAGCAGTAGTCAGTCAGACCCAATCAACCTGAAAAGATCAAAAGACCAAAAGACCTTGAGCTCGCAATACTCCGATCCTCGAGGGGCGCTTGACCACCTTTTTGCCCTGCCCTGCCCTACCCTGCCCTACCTACCCTACCTACCCTACCGACCCTACAGTTTAAACTCTACCCACTCAGTTAGCGATCTGGCTATTCCTTGCCTCGCCTCGCCTTCACTCTGCCCTGTTCTTTTGAAATTTTTGCATCTTTGTTCTCTCTCCTTATCCCAGGCCCGGTTGCTGACGAACTTGGTGCTGAAATTGCCCAACTTGGATCCCTCACGCCCTGCCCTTCACTTCTCTTTCCTTCTTCTCTTCACTGAGCTCAGGACGCTGCTTTTTACCATTTATCAGTAGGGGCGTAGGTTGGTTGCATGGGCATGGTTGGTAGGTGGGTTGTGGGAGAAAGGGGCGATGGAAGGATGGAGTAATGACAGGGGAGGAAAAAGGAGAGAGGGAGAGAGAGAGGGAGGGGAGACGGGATGAATGAACAAAGGGGAAGGAAGGAGACAGAAATTCTCACCACGTTACTGCACTACTTAGCAGGAAGAGGCCCTCTTAAAATAATGCTAGGAGAGCCATCAAAGTGCGCTTAGATTAAGCCTAACCATGATATTACTTAGAGAGTACAAGGATATACAACTTAGTCGTCTGTGATCTAATAATATCTCACTATCTATAACGTATTTTACTAAAAATATGATCATAATATGGTTAAAATATGCCTCTCTTATCATATTAATATGGTGGTCATTTGACAGAATGACTGTCATTTCTACTAACGGCACTTGGCTCATATCTTTAGCTGCCCCTTCTCCTGGTAAGTACTGTGTGAATCTCCAAGTTTCCGGGACTTTTCATTTCGCTTCCTGAGATGAGGATCCCGAGAGCCTGGAGGCTTGGTCATTGTTATTTTTATTATTTTGGTAGGAGCATGTGATGCACGATCCGAGCCAGGTACCTGCTTGGAGTGTAGATGATGGGATAGATTCTCCTACCTTAATCTGGGCAGTCGGGCTGGGAAGTTGGGAAGTTGGGAAATTGTTCACTCATCGTCTATATCTCCATCCGCATCCGTGTCGGCATCGGCATCGGCGTCGGCGTCCGCCATCTCGATATCGGCATCAGCGGTATCTGCTCCCCTGCTGGAAGTTGCTGTACCGTTGACCGGCCGACTGGCTCTCCCATTCCGCGTCCCACCAATATCTCCTTCTGCATCCGCATCCAGCTTCGCATTCCCACCAGGAGCAGGCTGTCCCGCCGTTGCCAACACATCGTTCAATTCTCGCTCTTTCTCTCTCTCTTCTGCCCTCCTCCTCAAAACCCTCAACTCCTTACTTCCCTCAAACACCCTGTCAACCAGCGCTCTCGTCTCCGCCCTCATGAGTACTTCATCCTCATCTGGCTCGCGGATCAAGACATCCACCCCATCAACGCTGTACTCGTTGGCCACTGCCGCCACCTTGCCCGCCTGGCCGCCCTGGGCTCTGGCTTGAGCCAGCGTCTTGACTCTATCGGCCTTAAGGCGCATCCGCTGCCCAATCTCGTAGTAATATGCTGCTTTACCTTGCCCTGATTTTTTGAGACGGGAGTGGACTTCCTTGCCTCCAGCACCTGAGGAAATAGTGTCTGGATCAAACAGCGACAAAGCCAGATACCTCCAGCCATGCGTCATGGGCGCTGAGTCCTCAGCAAATGTCCGAATCCGCTCATACTCAAACCGTCCTTTCTCCTTGTTCAAATACAGATCTCTATCATCCCGTCTCGGATCCGCGGGATTCAATTTCCTCCTTATCCTCTCCACGATGTCTTTATCTCCTTTACTGCCCTCAAGCCGCGGCACACAAAAATCCCAGTCGTAGGGCAACCTACCAGGATCTTCGTAGAGATCCGGGTTCTTCTCGTGCGCTTCTCTTCGCAACTTCCATTCTCGTTCTACTTCATCGACTTTGGCAGGGTGGAGGATTGCAACATCGATTCTGTTGTCACGTTTTCCGTTGGGAAGGACGGGGAGGGGTGGTTTGTCGAACTTGACGCTGATGAAGGAGTTGGAGTCGGTTTTGGCGGGGAGGTCGGGCAGGAGAGGGTAGAATGCAACGGGCTTCATTTTGGAGTTGGACGGGTGAGTGGGACTTTCCCAGGCTAGGCGATCAGAGGTGGTTATGGGAAGAGGGTCCGGTGTGCTGTTGGCTAGTACTGCTGACTCGGGGTAGGCTATATTGAAACCCTTCTCGATGTAACGTTTTATGTAGCTCGGATCGTCGCGGGAGATGGCGGGTATGGTGGCTTTGGTCGGTTTGGTGGTTTTGGATGAGCGAGATGTGCTTCGCATAAGGGGATCATTCGCGCGCGTATTTCCAGAGGTCATGTATTGAGTTTTGCGCAGGAAGGAGACATTTGTATTACTTGCGCCGCGAGTGCGGATTTGCTCTGGTGTCAGAAGAAGGTTGTGATCGGCTGTGTCGAGGACTGGTTGGATTTCAGGCGCCATGATGGCTAGACAAAGGTCAGTCATGCGTTGCTTGAATGCTCGGAAATGGCTTCCCTACCACTCTCATCTCCGAGAAAGTATCCAGGAATACCAATCATGTCAATTGGGATCCCACCTTCTGCATCTACTTCGATGTTCGGTTCTTCTCTTCTTGCTAGACCTGAGGCGAAGCTCGTGGTGAGGTACTGTGCAAGCCCTCCGTTGTCTATGTCCAGGAGCTTAGGTGGCATGGGCGGTGGTGGTAGATCATTCCTGTATCTTGTCGAGACCACCATGTCCTGCTTGAATCCGCCCTTAGCATCGCTAGAAGTCGCCATCTTCGTGAGTTGTGTATCAATGCAGTATGGACGTGGTCAAGATGAACTGCATTCGGACACTGCCAATCCTGCTCGATGCAGAGACAACTGAGGTTCCAAGGATTCACGGAGAGATAGGTGACTTATTGTGTCTTAGTTAAAGCGGGCTGCTGTCGTGCTTTGAGTCTCTCCGAAGCAATACTTCCAGAGACCCGTCAAGCGGCACGGAGAGGTAATTCTTGCACCCAAGGACATACAGATACAAGTATTTTAAGATGGCTGTCCACGCATCTGATTGGCCGTAAGCGGAGCGAGTAGTTCTTGGCGTCCCGCTTGAACCTTCTCCAAGTCTGCTATACAAATAACAAAAGTCAACAAGAAGTCAACATTGCCTCCTGAAACATCACGTCACGTCGCGGAATGGTCGCTGGCTGAGTATTGCTGCAGTCTCCGCACAGCAAGATAGCTCCTTGTCCCTTACTTCGAATCACGGCGATGCTGGTGCCTATAGATGAGCCAATCAATCCTCCGCCGATAACACTGTCCCCTTTCCCACATATTTCAAGAGAATACGTTTTCATCGCATAAAAATAAATAACATACTTCCCTTTTTCTCAACGACACTTTCGTGTCCGCTAGTTCATGTATGGTTGACACGAACGTGCTAAGATAAATCCCTTGGTCTCCAGACCCACAGCGATTACAGCCTGTTTCCAGTTCCCGATCTCAGGGAAGCCTGTAGTCAGCGACCCCAGCTGACATCTTAGCATCCATAGAGCAAGGACGTTCCCCGTACTGCTCTACAGGGGTGGGTACCCGCTAACTTATGCCGACAGAGCCCAGGAAGGGAGAGATCTTGGATATCCATTTCTGAGAGGACCGCAGAAGCAAATGGGACTTATCGCCCGTTCTCTTCTCTGACGAACTTGAATAACCAGTACCGCATCGACCCAGTTCGACTATGGAGCGCTGATCCCCGAGCAACTGGATGCCCAAGAACAGGCAACACAACCTCTTGACCACTCTAGAAAACTTCCTCACAACGGTGCGTACAACGCCGCTCAAGAACCCAAGGAACCCGCCTAACCGAACTTCCGAAACGAGATCCGAACCCAAATGCACCAGTCGTGTAAACGTCCTTTGGCGTTATAACTTAGCTTTGGGCATAGATGGCGAAGCAAGTGTTCGAGACAAGTGGGCCCCCAGCAGTTAATGCTCAAAACTGAGAGTCCATGGTAAATCAAACCAAGGAAGTCGCAACAATCATGCGGCTTTTTCTATCATACGCTGCTGCGCAGAGAAGAGAGTTGGAGATGTGTGTACGGAGGACCACCAAATGACATGAATAGCGGCAATTAAAGTGGCAGTGACAGCGAACAGGACCTGGGACGGATCGAGCTCAGGCATAGCAACAGGGACGAGGACGAGGACAAGTACGACTCTAGGACAGCATGAGTAGGGATGTCTAGCTGCGACATCAGTACCCAGCAGTCAGCGTATATATGTACTGGGTCAAGGTCAATGGCGGACTAGGGCCCAAGAGAAGATGGAGACAACATATGCTCATACTATTTGTGATAGTGGTATCGATATCGCTCTGTCTGCCATATCCCCTAACTATCATAATATGCTCCTTGCGTGGATTATTGCTTCTCCTGGGGGGGGTCAGTGTGGTGTCGTGGCCGTGCATGCATGTAGACTTATTAACTCGTCAACCGCTTTCCACCTATTAACTAGAAACGCGCCAAAAAAAGGTACTACTCCCAGCACCTATAGCCGTCAACATTGAACCCCTGAGCGCCAATGCAATCGAGCACAAGCATCAGCGCAAAAAGCGACAAGTATCTCCGAAAGCTCATGATGGGGAGAAATAAATGACGAGATGAAGCTTGTGTCGGACACATTGCTGCCCCTGTTGCTTCGGTCGCGTGGAACGAGACCCTCCTCGTCGATGGAGAAGCGCAAGCACCCCACTTCAACATGGCTCCCCAGGTTCTTCTCATCTCTCTACTCTTCCTTGTAACGCCTGCTGAGCAGCAGTCATCTCCCTTTCATCGACTTTCATCCGCTTCAACCCCGGGCTATGGCTCTCCGGAGCCTGGCCATGACCATGAATATGAGCATGATACGATTGTCCCTCCGGTGTATGTCCCCGCGGATCACCCGCCCTCCCAAGATGATGAGCCGGAGGCGCTCCTCTCATCTGATCCAGTCCGGCAGCGATATTACTTGACTCCCCGGGGCCGGCAGCATGGTGATGCTGTTGCTGTGATGGTCCTTGATGTTGTGATGCGTGTTGTGGTGCATGCTGCTGCTGGCCCGGGTTGCCGGGATGCAGACCATCGATATTGGGAGGCGGTTGAGGGAATTCTCCTTGAGATTCGATCAGGCGGGATTGAAGATTGATGATGTAGTCGCGGAGCTGGTAGTTCTCGGCTTGAATGGCTTTGTAGTTTTCGTTTAGGATGGTGTAGTCGCGGACCTGCTCTTCGAGTTTCTTGATGTAGCCTTCTTTGCGCTGGCGGAATGCTCTCTGTAGTTAACAAAGACTATCAGTGACTGTGATTGAATGTGGAATAGATTCCCAATCGGGATGGAAGGGATTGTAGACTGCAATAAATGGCGATCATGTAGCATCAAAGCAACATTGAACAGGCAGGATTGCGTTGGCAGGTCTTGGAGGTCGAGACGGAAGCTTGAAATGGAACTGTATTCCAGCTGATTAAGATATGAAACTGCTAACTCACCTGCGCCGCTCTATTCTGAGCCGCTCTCTTGCTTGTGCTGAGTTCCCGTTTGCCGTAACCTTTTCGTCCATCACCGTCATTACCGTCATCGCTACCAGCGCTGGTGCTCATCATACCAGAACCGGCCATTGTATGATCAAGTGGATCATTTGGAGATGCTGGACTCGATGTGTGCATCTCGTTCTGATCTCGTGGGTTGTTCGACGTGTTGACTTGAGAAAGTAGCTGCTCGCGGAGAACTGTTGGAGTGTTAGACTGGCAATTGTTGAAGTTACTTTATCAAGAGCACAATCGGATCGCCTCATCGTGCGAAATCAACTCTCGGATCTCGAATGACGTTGAACAGCCCCATCGTCGAGTCTGACCACAGCTTACGTAAGAATAAGGGCGATGACCTCTCAGACTGCCGGTTCATAGGGACATGGGGAGTTGTCTGACATGACCAGGAAGAACAACATGTACAATAACAAGGGGGTATTCGAGAAACAGCGGCGGGCTTACTCACGCTGTTCAGAGACAACATCCTGTTTATCGACAGCCGTCAACGATCAGCTATTGGTACCAAAGTTTGAGAATTGAGCAGACATGCTGAGGCGCTTAGGAAACGTGAGAAACAGCGGAAAGTTGGAAGTCGAGTAACCGGACGTGCTGGACCTCATATAATGACAGAATATAAAAGCAGCAGAAGGATTGGACCAAATCTTGCTTACCTGAGTGGAAGAATGCATGGCGCTGGTCGGCGCTGGCGCGAGAGACTGCATTCTGGCGGCAGCGGAAAATGCGCTCTTCAAAGCTGTGCGTCTGTTCGATGAGGCCTGAGAACACCGACCAAATTCAACTGCGATAACATGCAATAAGAAAGGAGTACGCCGCACGCCGCTTTGCTCTCTTACAGAGGTTGGTTGTGCAGGTAGGTGACTGAGGGAACTTTGAATTTATGAGGTAAGCAGCGGAGGGAAAAGCAGTTCCCCAGGATGATTAGCTTAGTGGTAGTCACCCTAACTCCAGTGGAACAGCCAGCTGAGTTACACGCAAGTTGTAGTTGAGTTAAGGCAACCTGACTGCCTCGGGCTTTGCAGCCACTAAACTGATTACGTCGATTAGTCAACCCCTTGGCGCCGGACTCTGGGGGGTCGGCATTTCACAAGTGGACCTGGCCCTGGAAAGGTGGCGGAACACTTCAATGCCACATCGATCTGCCAGCGAGCAGCCGTGAACCTTCCAAAGCTGTGCTAGATAAGCTGATAAAGCGGCAATCAAGCTTCCTTTTCAATAGGCGATGGACAAGGCAAGACCGCAACTCGAGTGTTACAACGTCTGGCTAAGAAGCATGATTAGAGTTGAGCATGCATCCATGCACCGTAGTCAGCGGATCCGCTCCACTTTGAGACAGCCGGCCCATCGGCCCCTCCTCTCTTAGTCAGATTCAGCCATCAATGCCGACCTTCAAGTTGGCTGTCAGCTCCCCTTCCGCCAACCAACCTGACCACCTCCTCCCTTCCAAGGTTGGTGGCACTACGTACTTATTCCCAAGGACAACACACGGCTGCATCACATGCCGCAACAGATATCGACCTTTGACTTGAGAATCAGGGCCAGACGCTCATATCACAATCACTATACGGCTCTTGCATAAGCAAGCTCTATGAGAGTTGACAAAGAATGCATAACGTTCTTGTACTGTAGGAAGCATACCCAAATAGTATGCCTTGTCTTTGACCGCTTATGAACGCGAGTCACAGTGAACTATGCGAGGAGGCTATTTTGTCAACCTCGCTGCTCTGACTGGAAACGTCTTGCTCTCTGCTCGCTGCACTTACCGGTTGAATATACCTGCCGCCGCCGGAGCAACAGCGCTCGGTGCTGCACTCAATGCCATCTGGTTCAACGCCGATCCATTCCTCGTTGAGCCGTTATCAAGGTCCTCATATCGTAGTATGTACTGCCTCTGCGTAACGACAACATATCAGCCATAGAGCGAGCTCATCACACGTGCACCCGTGAGAGTACATTGCGCCAACTTACCCTCACCTTTTTCCATCCCTTCCAATCCCACCAGATGTAGAAGCCTTGCTCACTAACCTCCCTCTCCACCTCCACTGGTGCTGGATAATTCTCATCCCTCGTCACCCACATCTTTTCCCCTTTGTGGAATCGCCACTTCCTCCCTATCAGCTCATCTGCCACAAGTTCTTGTACGACATCCTTGGGACTCGAGTAGAAAATATAGAAGAGTGTTTCCTCGCTGAAGCTGGGGATGCGCTCATGCAGATTTTGCACATTGGCAACACGGTAGCAGGCTGGCAGCGTGTAGTCGGCATCGAGGGGGAGACGGGTGTGAGCTGTGGGGTTGAACACGCTTGCAAGGTGCGTGTGAAGAGGTTCGGTTGACGTCAGGTCAAGACCAAGCGTTGTGAGATCTTGCCCTTGGGCTGTTAGGCTGCGCAGGTCGGCGGAAGGGTGATGCATCATGGCGAGAAGACCAGGTAGCCCGAATTTGTCGGCATCAGACATTTGCTCTAGAGGTTGTGGCCCAGCCTGTTGCAGTGATGACGGCGAGTCAACCAGGTCGTTTCCACCAAATGTGTTGTTCATCATCTGACTTGATTGATGCGGAAGTTGTTGTTGAGATTGGTTGGAGAAGTCTCCTTGGCGGTTCGAGCCATCTGCTCCGGACCCAATAGTCCCCTGCACATGTTAGCATTGACCGGAGGAGGTTGTTGTTGAAACTGCTGACAAGTTTCTCCTGCGCCGCATTGCCATTTTGTCCTTGTGGATTTGGTGATCGAGATGTTGAGATTACTCAAACACGTCAGTCTTTCAGGCTTCGACTTGGCAAATCTCACTCACAACCCATGCCTGAGCCTGCCGGCGAAGCCATTCTTTCCCTATCAAGTGCACTGCTCAGTAGAGTCCGCTGTTGCTGGGTCATGCCTGCAAATGCCATTCCAGCACCATAGCCTCCAAATGTACTACTTTGCAACAAACTACCTCTCCTTTCCTGACCTAGACCTGAAGAAGTTTCACGTCCTAATGGCGGGAACTCATCGATGTTGCCTGTCTGTGGCTGAGTACTCCCCGAGAGTTGCTGATTGCCTTGACCATAGTCACCTAATCCAGTGGAAAAATGAGACGCCGCTGAGAACATGTCCTCGTGAGATGGCTGCGACTGCGGCTGAATTTGGAGTGAATTTGGTTGAGAAGGTTGAGATTGCTGCTGCCGTGAATTTTGCGTTGGGTTTTGCTGGGCCGGTCGTTGTGCCCAAATTGCTTGGCCAGGGTTTTGTTGTTGTGTTTGTGGAGTGCCTGAGAGAGAAGGAAATTCTCTGCGAGGTGACAGTGAGCTTCGCTAAGCCTGTAAGGAACTTTATGTCTCCTGAGAAGCATTTTTCTATGGTTTGTGGGGTAGACGTGTCACTTACAAGGGGTCGAGAGGAGTTGCAGGTTGAGACCCGCCGACATTTTGTGCGAAAGAGCCTATTCCACTATTTCCACCCATATTTCGTTGTTGCACGCTTTGCAGGCCTGGTGCCCCTCCCATTGGCATTCCAAAGGCGCCCCAGCCTGATCCACTTCCTACGTAAAAACCGCATCAGCTCGTGAAACGGCAAGTTTCATTGGATAAGTGTACATGGCACGCACCCAGTTTGCCGTTTGGTAATCTGCTTGTACTCGAAGGCGGATTTCTCGGTCGGACATTTTCTTGGTTGGCGAAGGCCTGCATACCTCGAAGCGGCACAGGGCCAGTACCTGAATGTTCACTCTTCTCGTCAGCCTCTGCTACTTCCGGGTCTGTAGGAGTCACGCCGCCAATAGCAGGCACAATATCGCTTTGAGCACCAGCACCCTCCGGGCCAATGCAGCTGCTACCGCAACCACCCCGTCGATCCTTATCCTCTGGCACGACTCTTTCTGACGATGGTTTTGGGTGAATGTTGCAACCAGAGTCATCTTGAGCTGAACCGGGTTGAGAGACTAGCTCTGGTCTATACACCTTGCCTAGTACTAAACCGTTGCTTTGCCGGTCACGCTGAGCGCAGCCCTGTTCTGAGACTTCGGTTACGGAATTGCTGTCCACCAAGAAAGTGGCTCTCTGACTTGGCGACCCTCTTGTTACTTCTAAATCGGGGCTTTGACTTGACTTGTCGGTTCGGCGTTTCCGTTGCCAGAATTCGACAGACGATACAGATCCACTGCTATTTCGATGTTTGTCGATCCTGGAATGATGCTCGTCCCTCTGACTGGAAGAATCAGGACTTTGGCTCTCCGAAGGATTGCAGTACCCTTGAAGGTAAAGATTGATCGCTGCCCCCATTTCGTCACCGGAAAGCGCCCTGAGTCTTTGTGCATTCTCTGCAGACAGCTCAATCCCGAACTGTGCTTCGAGCGCCCCTGCATCGAATTTACCCCGCAACTTCTTTGCCTTGAAGCTTAGGCTTGGAGCTCGAATACGCAAAGTATCTGCGGTACTTGGAGAGGTCGGAGAAACGGTCAAGGCAGCTCTACCAACTATTCCACTAAGTTCTTCGGGAGCAGACCTGATTTGCAAAGCTTTGAGGTCCATTGTGACTTCAGCATCATTCAATGGACGACTTGCAGCTTCACCTTCCTCAAGGTGTATAGCTGTTGGAAGCGTCTTGCTCGGTAGGGTGCAACCTGAACAGGTTGAATTCGCCCCTCGTGGAGCGTGAACTGATTCTATGCTCCGTTTTCTCAACATTATCGAGCTCGACGCTCGGATGGCGCTGGTGTCAGGGTCGGGTTCAAACTCGCACGTGCCATCATGACCGCCAGTCTGAGCCAAATTCGCTTTCGATTCTAGGTGTAGAGAGTGCTGTAATCCGGTAGATTGGTCCTCACTTCCATCAAGATGACTGGTATTGCTGGCAGTGCGCCGAGAACGTTTGTGGTCTTGCTTTTGATAGTTTGGTGCTCCCAGTTCGTCCAGGAAGTGTGATGTATGCTGAGTCTCTTCAGCTCTTGCGGCAGTAGCAGACGTTAACACGGGTTTAGGTGCGTCTCCTTGATTGCGAGTCGCATTTTGAAGATTGCTCGATCCCGCTTGACCATCTTGGCTCTTTGGTAATGAACAGGGCCTATCGACAAGGACCGCTGGAGGGCTGACCCATTGATTGTCTTTAGGAAAGGGTGTTGTATGGGTGCTAGGTTGCAGTGTAGCTTCATAACCACCTGGTATCGCTTGTCCTAGTCCGGACGCAACATATCGTGCAGTAGAGGCTCTAGGATTCTCATGAGATCTTGTGTCTCCTCCTGTCGCGCTGGCCCGGCTCTCATCGACGTTGGCGGTCTGAACAGTGGGTGCCCCTTGTGATGGGGTCCGCTGATGAAGTGATGCCAGCCCTTTCCCTGCCGCAGCTTGCCTGCCAGGGTTTCCCATATCCAAAACAAACCAACACCACTGCAAATAATGCTACTAGAAGAGAAGGACGAAAAGAATGGAAACCTACCTGGCCGATTCATTGGGTCAATTTGAACAAGTTGGATGCGTTTGTTAGGAGCAGGAGCCCAGAGCAAACAAGGAAACAGCTATTGGGGTTGGCAGAGCCTCTCTGAGTACTCTAGCAACGTTGGTGGCAGGTGCAAATGTTGCGAGGCATGCAGGGTGTGTTGGTGCTTGCGTTGGTGCTTGCAGAGTGGGTACTATACGTAGTAAGTATGTGAGATGCGCGCGCCAGTCCAGTTGAATGGGGCAGCGCACGGGCCAGATCTCGATAGGGCTGAAGCTGCCCCAATGCGCTCTCCACCCCATTTCCCCTACTTGTGTAGGTGGAGTCGTAATACTAAAGAAATGTAACACTTGTCCGAGCATTTCGTACTATAATTCTAGCTGCAATCAGTACGAAATCATATGTACATTGACTATTTTCAGTCCAGGGCCGCCATAATCTCCACAATCTCCATGTTTTATTTCCTCCTTGTGTCGTTGTCTTTCTTAATCTCTACTCTCATCTCATCCTTAATCCTAGATATTGTGCCGACTCCTTGATACGCCAAGGCAGTATATAGACTCACACAATCCGACCCTGCCTTAAGGGCCTCTAAAGCCTGTCTACCATTGGTAATGCCACCACTTGCGAAGATAACCTTTGACTCGTCTCGATGTGGAAGTACATCAGAGACCACAGATGGTTTGGCTTCCACGGGTTTCGAAACATCGGGTCCCCCTGGTGAGTTAACTCCCTGTTTGCTCGAAGCACTTGGCTCCATGGAGGGCCCTGGTTCGAATTTTCTCGAGCTATCAGACACATCTAACGAGTCAGGTTCGGTCTCTCTCTGGACGTTATAGTATTTCTGAGTAGGGATCTGAAGAAGGGCCTGCTTCTCAGTATCCGGACGACCCGACGGCTTCTTAGGATCAATCCTCCCACTCGAGATTGAAGCATGTACTCCATCTACTTTTTCAGGGGTGGCGGTCGGTCCAGGCTTTTCAAGAATTAATTTGTCTGATTCGGCTGGTGGTTCAGATACCTCTTGTAGGTCTGGTTCCATCTCTCTTGGGGCATGGTAGTATTTCTCAGAAGGAATCTGGAAAAGGGACTGCTTCTCAGTGTCCGGACGATCTGATGGGTTTTTAAGATCGATCTTGCCGCTTGAGACCGAAGCATGGACTCCATCTACATTCTGAGGGGGAACGATTGGTCCAGGCTTTTCAAGAATCAACTTTTCTGATTCGGCAGGTCCTTCCGCTTTAGCCTGATGAGTTTGTTGAGGTTGATTGTCTGGTTCGGCTGCCCCTTCATCTGAGGGCTGCTGAGCGTATTGTGGTCGGTTCCCAGAGTCGGCCGGTCTTTCGACGTTTGATTGAAGAGCTTTTTGGGGTCGGTTCTCTAATAGCTTTCGATATTTTTTTACCAGAGATATCGTTCTGTCAAAGAGCTGGGGGCCAGAGTATCCACCCTGCTCCAACAGGACTTGCTCCTCAACTGGTGATAGCTTATAACCCAATGGTAGAGGGTCAGGTCTTGCCTTTGTCGTGTTGCCGACTATCAAACCATCGACGCCAGAATTCCAGACAGCGTCACAGATCCCCGCAATTTGCTCATCAGAGTCTTCGTCAGGGCTGACTTTAACCATGATGGCAGGTTTCTTAGTTCGGTTCACATTTTGTGCCGCATTCACCACGCCGGTCAATATCGTGGTCAGTGGCTTAGATTGCTGTAATGACCGCAAGCCTGGGGTGTTTGGGCTAGAGACGTTGACGACAAGAATGTCGGCGTATGGGCCAAGCCGTTCAACGCAATACACGTAGTCGTCTGTGACACGGTCGATGTCCTCGTCTGGAGTTTGTTTGTTTTTCGCGATATTCACGGCTAGCAACCGACCAGGCATCAGACTTCCGGGAGGTACGTGAGCATGACCATCTAGAACATACTGCTCAGCTTCTGCATCCTGACCGTAGTTCTTAGCCCGAGCAAATTCTCTGACCCGATGTCGCAAGTGCATGGCCACGTGGTCGGCTCCTTCAGAATTAAGTCCGTATCGGTTGATGAGTGCATTTTGAGAAGGCACTCGAAAGACTCGTGGTTTGGCATTTCCCTCCTGCGGCAATGGTGTTACTCCGCCTACCTCGACAATTGCTGGCCCCATCGCGAACAGTGCATCGGGAATATCAGCGTCCTTGTCAATCCCTGCGGAAGTTGCAATGGGATTGACAAGATTATATCCAAAGACTTCAATCTGAAGATCTCCAGCACTGTCTGGATCACCACGTTCACGAGGATATAGGCCGAACTGCCAGAGGAATTTTAACGCCGAATTACCGGCATGATGGGCTTCTTCTGCATCCGCATAGAGGATTTTCAGCGTAGGTACGACAAGCCAACGATGTAGGCTTGCCCGAGTATCCGTGATGTAGAGATACAACAAGCCAGAGCCGAAGACCAAGGCCGTACCATAGAAGAGGTTTCGTAAACTTGCAACTGGGGTTGGAAGTGTGGAAGCCTGGCGTACGTAGTTGAATGGTCGACCTGTGACTCCCTTCGTCCTATGCCGGAACTGGTGGCACAAGTATTTCCTTGACCCTGAATTTAAATGTCGAAAAGAGTTCATGGCGACAATGCTGCAGTCGACCAGTTTCTCATAGCTGAGTAGTGTTGTATTGCAATCTTGCGGCTCTCAACCAATGCACTCTTTTCAGCAAGTTGTGACTGGGCATGGGATGTAGATCCGTGTTTTGCAAGTCTGAATGCGGTACATTAGCTGACCAATTAGCAGAATACGTAAGAGGAGAAACCCAAAGTAATCATGATGGATATGTACATAAGCAATCAATGTCATGCAAGTTTTTAGGAAGCGCGGCGGGACTTGGGGGTCACCTTGGCTTGTAAGCGCGTCTCTGTTATGAAAATTTCTAATCGACGTAGGGAAGCATATTACGGAGTAAGCCCCAAGCATTCAGAGTTTCTACAAACACACTTCGCAATACTCATGGCCGGCCGTAGTCAGAGTTGCTCATGCAGTAACGTCAAACAATCTTCCATGCTTTCTCACAGCGATGTCTCGTTCCCTACAGCTGGAGACTATGATTCCATTCTCATAAAACTTTCCTGCTGATCAGCATTTCCAGTCTAACTGCACGACCACCCGTGGCTGGCCAATATCTGGCTGGCATGTGAAATACATCATGATTCAGCCGGCTGAAGCGGTACGGGCCCTACTTCACAAGATATTGTGGCATTCTTGCAAACAGACCAAGGTTACACAGCACTTTGGCCAACCCAAAAAGCAGCTTGGTCCGCTAGTTGCCTGGCGATGTATTATTGATGATACACCGCTGTTGTTGGAGAAAGACATGGAAGCGCGTAAATCTTTAACGGTATTTGTAACAGCTGTTTATATCCAGGTGAGTAGCCAACGAGTTACCTGAAGTAGTGTCCCGATGTCCACTTATTTTTGGTATGCACCGGGCATATCCCAGTAGCATAGAGTCACAATAGTCACCATCAACGAAGTCCTATATAAACCGGAACAATACCCTTATCATTCTGCAGAAGACGCTCCCCACCAGCAGCAATTGTCACTGTTTGAGCCGACTTATTCATTTCAGTCAGGTACTCGTTCGTCGTCTGTACTCAACGATCCGCCCATGGAGGTTTGTCATCTGAAGATCCTCCCTCATCTCTACCAGAGCAGAGCCCAGAAAGATCGTTGGATGTGGTGCTACCAGTCACAGGTCGTGGAGCTGGCTAAGCCGTAGCAGCTCGCCGATTCTAAAGTTAAGCTTTCTCGAAAGAATCACCGATGTCATGGATACCTAGAGGAACCGGGCGTGAAAATGCTATTGGCCGGGCGGACCAGGAATATGTTTGTGCTTTGGTTGCGAGCATACTCTAGGAGGCCGAGACGAGCCGTACTGACTATAACTAGGTACCATCCTTGTTCTGAAAGAGTATAATGGAATAGCCTGCGGTGCACCAAAGCTCCCACTATGGGCGCTTAACACCAGGAGCATTCTTGACCGAGGAGGTGAAATTCCAGCAGCTACCGATTATTACGAAATTTACCTGAGGTTCCTGCACGTGTACCCAAGTTGTGTCCAGGTCAACAGCTCTCGGTAGACGCATATGCTCCTTACAAGGCTTCGCACGAGGATGAGGGCAATGCAGGACTACATAAGCACAAATCCATCGTCAGCATTTGATGCAGACTTCGTCTATTTTGCTTAAACGAATAACAGCAAGGTTCGTGATCCAGAGAAATATGAACGATTGCGAGGCAGTCATGGACTATGAGATAGACTGTGAGATAGGAGCTTCCTACGTTGCCAATCGCGTGCGACAAAGGACAAAGACTAGGACGGAGAGAGGAATAGGACGAATCTGAATAAGCCACAAGAAGGAGGGGTTATGGTGGGGAAGGCGAACGGTGATGACACTGGATCAACGGAGCGAGCCCTGTGGGAGATATGATTGATGCTCTTTTCTCGATTGTACTGCACAAGGATATACAAGATAAGGACTTCTGTATCGGTGACGTCCATGTTCTCTCAGAAGGACAACCGCAGTAGATGGCGATTAACTTAGTAGGAGTGAGGAAGGGAGGTTGTACGTAGTACGTAGTAGATATCTACTTAGATTCTGTAGGAGGTATCCGTAGGAAGTATGAGTAAATCTGCCGAGTGGATTCGGCCATCGACGCTTCAAGGTTTCTGCTAAAGCGCCAAACTCGCACCACGCACCTCGCAGCTCCGTCACCGCCTCGGGATGCCGTGCCGAAATCTCCCATGTGAGACTATTTGCGGTTTGCGGTTTGCGGTTTGATGAGCCATGCCATTTCCCTCACTCTCGTTATAAATCCACCTCACCTACGCTTCCTGCGACTCATCCCCTCTCTGAATATCTCTCAAGGCTCTTAGACGAGTATTTGTCTTGCCTGGTGTCGTCCATCTCCGGCAGATAGATTCTTCGTGCCGCCTGACATCCCGATCACTTTTAGCACTCCGAGTGTTGAGGTCCTGCTTGACCGGTACCACAACTGATTACCCGTCTCAGTTGTGCGGACATTTAGACATCCTTGCGCGTTGGTCCCTTTGTGGGCAAGATCTCTTTGGTATGTCTCTTGGTATGCACAAGGCGTCTGCTGTAACCCCAACGGAACCAGTCGGATATCTACGCAACTTCTGAGAGTTTCACAGTGAAAAGAGCTCTCAGTCTACGCCAACACCAGGAGAATCAGCTATCCGATGCGATTATGTTGTCTTGACTTTCGTCAACCTCGCCGCTGACCATAAACTTCCTAGTCCTCTATCGCTACACACCTTCCAGTCACCTTCCCACATCCAACATGCCTACGAACCAACCCTTTTTCGCAAACTTCCTCGCCGCCTTTCGCGCACACTCGAGTCCAGCCTACAAAGCTGCTTCTTCTTCTTCCACCTCACCCACGACACTAGCATCATCTGCCCATGTCTCAACAACCTCCAGCACCGCAACTTCAACAACCACAACATCACATACCCGCTCGATAGCCACGAAAGCAGGAACATCTCCTAGCACACAGCCGTCGAACAACTCGCCGCAATCTCCACCGTCAAACACCAACAACACCTTCTCCACCGCAGCTGCTGTCGTAGCAGCATCCTCTCACATCCACCACGTTTCTCCCCTATCCCGCTCACCCGGCGTCAGCACCCCGCATAACATGAGTATCTCACCACCCGGAGGAGGCACATCCACACCGTTATCACGAGGAAGACAGAGACGCGGATCGGACAGCTCGAATTCATCCGGTGGATTCATCGATGCGCTAGGGCCAGAAAAATGGTACATCGGCGGCAGGACTGCAACAGGGGAGGAGAAGTTTTATAGGTTAGGACTGGTGACGGGAGGTCCGGGGAGGAGGGTCAGGAGTTTGGATCGATTAAGCTTATAATGAACTCGACAGGTGATTGTGGATGAAAAGCGGAGAACAAGTATACAGGAGGGGAAGTCAAAATGGATACGGAGAACAGAGGAATAAGAGGACATGACATCTCTGTCATATTCCACCGATACAACACATACATATTGCATTTTTTGGCATCAGCTCCGCGGCGTACTGGGAAGACGTCTCAGGGGTGGAACCACACGTCATTTTCTCTTTCTCTCCCCCTCGAAGGGCGCAGCCTGTCATTATTACTCGGCAAGCACAGAGCTCGCTCATTCATTCATCCACTACCATGCGAGCGAGCGACTGATTTCCCCAGCATGACCGAGTGTCTACACATGTCACGGAACCAGAACCAGAACCAGAATTGGAGTTGGTAGCCCTGTTTCCACACACAACTGCGTCGAGTTGGTTCGGAGGTGGGAGTGCGTGCTCGAGCTACTACGTAAAAGAATCAATCAGAGTCCATCCCTAGAGCAGATGGACACAGCAATCTCCAATACCTATAGCCAAGCCAATGCTCCTCCGTGTCCGCTACACATGCACGTGCAAATGCACAAAACCTTACCTTTCATCTTTGCCTTCTCTACATAGTAAGTGACTAGCCGTCCGCCTCGGTAAGTAAATAGCCTCCTGATTCCTACTACGTATATCAGAACCCCGAATATCCCCTCCCTCTCCCACCGCAAGGTAAGGTAACCTACAGCAAGAGCGGTGCTTTCAATCTCGCACAAGGCGAAGTAGATCACATACGACGGTACTTAGTCTGTAAGGGATATCGCGTAAACGTAAAACGCACAGTAGCACTACGGACCTGGAGAAGTTTTCCGCCATAGGAAAGGAAGATGGAGATGATGCAAGGATATGGCTCGATTGCTAGTGAGCCTGTTTTCGTTTTGCGCCCTGTCCTCCGGCCAGCTCGCTGGTAGTGATTGAAGAGTTGAAGGATGCCTTGAGTCGCTAATACCCCTCCCTGGTTTGCTTGGACGCCTCGCTCAATACTAAATGGCAGGAAAATACGAATTCCTTGGCGGAAGCACTACCCTTCGAACAGCTCCTTCCCACTCGGTATGGATGACCGCAGGTGTTGTGATGCCGCCCATGTAACCCGTCCGTTTCGAAACATCATGAGCCTCCGCCGTGCGAAGTCGACGTCGGTCTTTCGCTCGAGTTCCGCCTTTCCACCTCCAGTTCCTTAATTCTGCGCCTCAAAGCCTCATTCTCCCGCTTTAGACCCTCCAATTCTTCTCGTTGAGCAAGCAACTCTTCATATCTTCCGCTCGGCGATGCCAAAACCCCTTGACCGGACCCAGCGCCTACACCCGCAGCCTGTTGTGAATTGATCGAATGTCTATGCCCATGCCCATGCCCGTGCCCGTGCCCATGTCCAGCCGGAGTGGCAAGCTGCTGCGTAGGATGCTGAGACTGTCTAAGCTCACTCCTCGTCGAGCTCTGCCTGCTGACGCTTGGTCTCGGATCCCGGCTCAGCTCGACTGAGGGTCGACTACTCGACGTTGTGGTCGTGGTAGGTGGTGGTAGATCTCTCGCAGGAGCTACGCCAGAGACGGATGTTGCACCTGTGGTGCCGGTAGCTGTGCCGGCGATGCTACGGCTGCTTCTTGCGCTCAGCGAGCTGGAGGATCGATGGCGTCGGGCGGAGGTGGGGGTTGGGATTTGATAGCCGTATTGGTGGTGGGGGGTGTGGAGGTGAGGATGAGTCGCGGAGCCGGGTTCGTTGGAGGTGGATACGGCTAGGGAGGAGGTGGATGAGGTGTTGGATGCGGCAGACGCGGTCTGAGCTCGCAGGGCAGAGAGTTCCCGGGTTAGGCGATTCACCTACATCAATGAGGATTAACGTGAGGCTCTTCATATAGGACATAAGTTGAGGAGGTTATGTATGCAAAAGTGTCTGGTGGACCTACAATGCCTTCTTGCTCTTGCTCCAGAAGTAGATGTAAATCTGCCGCGGTCAGAGGGCGAGGATGGCGCATCGGTCCTGGACTGCATCAGCTTCTCCTCTTAGCAGATATCTGGATACATAGGACCTACCGGAGCCTGCACTTGTGTGACTTTCATCGCCTGCTGCCATGGTTGCATGTGGCAGAGTGGGAGAAACAAAGGTGGAGTGGGTCGACGATGGAGGAGGCATAGTAGCGGAAGTTCTGTGAGATGATGAGGTCGACACTCGCGGGTTAGCTCTGACCTGCGGTTTGGGAGACGGCGGGACTGAGTTGAGATCTGGAGGCATTGTTTTGGTGTGGGTGGTCTTGCAATAGGCAGCAAGGAGCAAGGGCGGGATAGCGCAGGCTGGTTGGGGGGGAGAAAGACAGATGGGCCTTGACAGTGCCCAATCACCAATCACCGATCACCAATCACAGATCAAGACTCGTTGTCTTTGCAATAGATAATGTAAGATGCTGTACCTTACATATACGCTTGCGGAGTATAGCAGGTCTATGGACGTATGAAGTATCGTGCAGGATGTCTTGGACGTTAGACTCATCATCTCCCGTCTCCACACCTGCTCTGCTGCGGAGTTTAACTAATTGATCCCACTCGGAGTTAACAAGACGGCTTTGCTTTCATTTGACCATGTTTCCTAGCACCCAATCCTTTGCAAGCCACCCCGGATCAAAAGCCAGGGACATCTGACATACTGCTAACTGAGCACAGTTCTCCTTGGGTGCAGCTTCACTGCATTGATCTTGGACATGATAAGCATTTTGCATTCTTTGGGAGGGTTAGGACATCTCAAAAATCGGACCAAGTATGGTATTGGCCTGCACTGCATCGCAAAGATACATGAACCTGTTGCTGTTCCTCTCTTTCGTTGTACTTTTCGTCTCGGTCGCTATATTCACATCGTATCATTGACCATCCCTGACATTTCTGCCTTGACCACCTTTTCCTATATCTTGTCACCTTCATTTCAACCACATTCCAGCAGAAGCTACTGACCCAGACGCCCACCATGTCTTCTATCGTCAACGAGATCAAGCAGAAAGTCGTTGGCACCTCGACCCCCCAAGGCCAACATCTCGCCGCCCTCCTGACATCAAAGGGCTCTGCTCTCGAAGTAACCCACCGGCCTGCCCTCCCACCCTAGGTCCCAATGAGCTCCTCATCGAAGTGAAATCCATCGCACTCAACCCAATCGACTATATACAGCGTGATCTCGGCTTCTTCATTGCCTCCTATCCCGCCATCCCAGGCTCCGACGTCGCAGGAATCGTCATCTCCGCGGGCTCCTCCGTCCCCACTGACGCCCCCAAACCAGGTACCCGTGTCCCTGCCTTTGCGCCTTGTTTCTTCGTGCAGGGCGCGCCAGACTACGGCGCGCTTCAAACACGGGTTCTTGTCCCAGCTGTGAAAACTGTGGAGTTGCCTGAGGGCATGGCCTTTAACGAGGCGAGTCTGCTGCCCATGGCGGTCGTGACAGCATGGTCTGGATGGTACCCTATAGGTTTACCTCGCGACACTTCGTACACAGCGCCGGGTAAGCAGGGGATGCTGGTATGGGGTGGCGCGAGTAGTATCAGCAGCGCAGCGATCCAGGTTGCTAAGATGATGGGGTTCAAAGTTTACACGACCGCGAGCGAGAAACATCACGAGTATCTAAAGGAATTAGGAGCTAGCAAGACGTTCTATTATAAAGATGAGCGTGTAGTGGAGAACATTATCAAGGCGGCAAAGGTGGACGGGGTGACCATTGACAATGGCTTCGATGCGGTTGGGCAGTTGCCATCGAGTGTGGAAATCTTGAAAGCATTAAAGGGGGAGAAGACTGCGAAACTGGCGTCTGCCACCCATATACCGGAAGATACGCCAAAGGTGGAGGGTGTAGAGGCGAAATTTGTTGCCGCTCCGCTGGATGAGCGGGAGAGGACAGAGTTTTTTTCATTTCGTTTTTAGGGTGTGGTTAAAGGAACAGGTAGAGAAGGGAGAGTTTGTGCCGAGTCCAAGAATTCAGGTGGTCGAGGGAGGCTTGCAGTCCGCGCAGAAGGCGTTGGATATCCTGAAGAAGGGCGTCAGCGGTATAAAGCTTGTGCTTGAAGTTTGAACGGTCGGCCAAGAGCTGAATGTCAGTTCGTAAGATGATATTGCGTAGATGGAGATAAAGGTCGGACATCCTCATTCCAACTCGATTTCACAATCATAACGCAGGTTGTCAATTTATAGTAACCGAAACGAATGCCAAATGGTATCATTGTCATGATATCCTCTTATATTGGTGTCTAATCTGCTTGGTAGAGTAATACAAACCCGTGGTATCCCTCAGATTCATGGGTCTCTCCTATACTTTTGGGAATCTTGAGTCTCAGCACGATGGCCGCAGGCTGTTTGGTTGCTCTATAGCCAATGTCATCAAAGGTCAGATGCTTCCTCCAGCCACAACTTGGTTGGACAAGCAATGTATTCATTTCTTGCCTTCCTTCTGAACCTTCTCGACAATAGGAACGATCTTCTCGTAGAGAGGATGACTCTTCTCAAGCCCGGTAAGCTTCTCTGTTGCCTCGGATGCTGATGTTGTGCTCATGATTTTGGCCAATTCAGCACTCTCCTCGTCGCCCTCAACATTTTGGAAGCGCAAGGCCATCTCTACACCCTTCAGAAGTCCATCGACCTTGCCTCCCTTTTCTGCCAATTGCGCTGCAGGCCCAATGAAGCGCTCCTTGCGAGATAATTTCCTCAATGGAGCACGACCCACACGGTCAGTAACATCCTCCAAAGCAGGGTTAGAGATTCGAGTGATGATGGCATTGACATATTTCTCTTGTTCCTCCTTGGTGACGCCGTGCTTTTGGACAATCAGCTGAGAAGTCTCATCAAGAGCCTCATTGACAGCCTTCTTGATCTCGGGGTCCTGGAGAGACTCATGAATTGTCCGGATACCTTTGTAGTGACCAAAGTAGGCCGATGTAGCGTGCCCAGTGTTGACAGTGAAGAGCTTACGCTCAATATATGGTTCAAGGTTATCGACCCAGTGTACACCTTTGATCTCAGGATGGCCAGACTTGAAACCTGTTGTCTCGACACACCACTCGTAGAATGACTCGATCACCACATTGAGGCCGGCGTCCTTGGGTTGAGTTGGAACGATTCGATCAATGGCAGAGTTGCCGAACTCGGCTTTGGATGGCAGATTGTCCAAGGTGTCCTTGTCCATGTTCTTGGAGTCTTTGATGAAGCCCGCAAGTGTGTCGGTGGCATTGATAGCGTTCTCACATGCAATAACAGCTAGGGGCTTGGACATGGTACGAGCCTTGATGGCCTTGGCAATGGGAGGAGCGATGAATTTGAGGATGTTGGGGCCAACCGCACAAGTGACGACATCTGCCTCTGATATTTCTTTGATAACATCCGCCTCGTTGTACTTGGAGTTGATAGCACGATAGTTGGTGATCGTCTTGGATTTCTCGCCCTTGTCGTCAACTTCGGTCACAGTGTACGAGTCTGCCTTTTGGAGAGCTTCGATGATACTATCCATAACATCGACGAAGACGATCTCATAGCCAGTTTCGTGGAAGAGCTCAGCAATGAAGCCGCGACCGATGTTGCCGCCACCAAAGTGGACTGCTTTCCCGACCATGATTGCGGATGATCAGGTCTTGGGTGATGGTAATACGAGGTCAGATTGTGGATTGTGGATTGTTGTGAAGTGTCTGGAGCATAAATGTCAGCGACAGATCCTACTGGAATCACAGCAACTGGGCCAAACTGACCTCGGCTTCGACAGCTCTTTCGTTGAAGATAGAAGGGGTTTATAGGTTGACGGTAGGCAATGAAACAGATGTCGGTGAGAGTTGCTGACCTGCAGGATACAATAATATTCAAAATTCCAGCTCGGTGCGGGGTAAAAGGTAGTGGAAGCTTGGGCCAAGTTCAAACCCCACTGACATACTTACATAACACCCGAACTTCAGCCGCGAAACGTGGTGAAGCCATGTAAGCAAGCCTGAATAGTATGTGGTACGTTTATGTATGGGGTGATGGCCTAGATATTTGGCAGCATGACCTATCCAGCCAATAGAAGATCTCCGACCTGGCCGTAACTCGATTGGATCATTTTTTATTCGAAACTTAGGTTATTTCTCTAAAGTCCTCTCACTGATAGCGTCTACAGAATATGAGCTAGACCTCTTACTCTACTCTTGAAGGAATGAGAACATCTCACCATTAAAAACAACTCCTAAGGACAGAGGAACTCTTCCGAAACACTCTCAGAACTGGTAACCACGACTCTAATCTCCGGTCCACCCATTCGAACCAGCCTCTCCGGCCTACCACCTGAAGCCCTCTTCTTCCTCAGCACATTACCCTTCTCATTAACAACTGAATAACTGGGGGGAATGTTTGCCGATGTCGTGCTTGTCAGTGGGAGAGCAGCAGCAGTGCTGGACGCGGTATAGATTAGAGTTGCTAACGGTGACGAGAGCAGCAAGGTCTGGCTGGTGATCTCGCGTCGACGCTGAGGACGGCTGTAGTTTCGCACAGGTGCTTTGTGCTGTCGTTGGCTCTGTTCTTCATCTTGAAGATATCGTGGTTGGGTGATCTCCGTTGGTGATATGGAGGTGCAAGCGGTTGAGAAAGAGGTAGTCGATGCAGCAGGTGAGATGAGTGGCGAGGCTTCAGACATCTCGCGAGGTTGTTGGTCTGGAGTGCAATAAGTTACAATAGCAGCAGCGGTCTGCTGAGTAAGAGGAAGTCGGTCAAATAGCAGTAGAGTGTAGTTTAGCTTGCGGAAAACGAGTGACTGAGATGTAAAGAAACAAAGACGATTTCTTCACTATGATAGAAATGGTAGAACAAATACCAAAGTGCACATTGTAAGTGACTGGATTTTATGCAGAAAGGAATACAGAGCACACCAGTCTCGCAGAAGCAGCTTGAGAGTCCAGGTCTAATATAGATGGTTGCATGGAAAGCAGCTTGTACCACTACCATTGACAGGCATAGTCTTGCATGATAAAGGGAGCATATTTATGAACAATAGTACATCAGCATGCAGCATGTCAACGTCTCTGGCATCTGCCCTGTACAAGGGCCTGTTCTGAATGATCAATGCAGTATGCGAAGACGCTGCGCAAATCCATGACTTTTTATGCTTGTGGGAGAATTTCCATCGACCGGTAATTGTATCTGCAAAAGCATAGAGAACAAATGTATTCGAAGTGGTTCTTGTTTCGGATACTAAGTACGCATAGGGGAAACATTTGTTGAAGGGAAGGGAATGTTTCAAGGCATGGCAGAAGGCCGTGGTGAGGAGCATTTTCGCCAAGGTTCACCTCCCTCTTCTACGCAGTATTAAGTACTAGTGAATTAGAACGAGTCTGCACGAGGCACATGTAAGCTGCTACTCTGTACAAATTTATCGGATTGTATCGGATACAACATTGCCCAAGGTCGGGGGAAATCGCTGAATATGATGGTGTGGATTTTGTCATTAGAGACATTAGATTCATTCGCTTTACCAGAGCAATCTTCAACCCAGTTATCTGCTCTATACAATGCAGGCATCGATTTACAGTCATGACATTCTAGAATCTCGCTTGCTCTTCAGTAATAGCTTTCTTCCTTGTAAACGCTCCGGCGGCGACCCATCATGAATTCGCCAACCCAACCGATGGTTGCGAGAAGCATTAGGATGGTGGCTGTCCATGTCATACCCAAGAACGCGGTACCTCGATCTGCCGCTAGTCCAATGTCTCCACCAAAGTCGTTTACTGCCTGTGTAGCGCGGAAGATGACGACTGTTGCGATCGCCGAGGCAAGACCGAGACAGATAAAGCCAAGCTATAAATTGGTCAACCAGAGGGGACTGAACATTTTCGAAGGTCTTACAGAGTTGACCCCAAGATTGGCCAATGCAACCTTATGCTCGTAGGCCAGAAGTCCGAAGACTGCCCCGATCATGCCGATGCCAGCTGCGGCGATGCCGATGAGGTAGAAGAAGAACATTGCCCTTGAAGCCATATTGATGGCTCTCACCCCGTTGGTGATCTCATCTGGCCATTTGATATCCGATAGGCCGAGGCCCTCTGGTAGCTTGGATTCGATGATTTCTGTTGGATCAAAAGTGTAGAATGCTTTGCGCTTCGAGCAAGCTGTCACCTCTTCCTCCGCTTTCGGGTCTTTAGCATTAGGCTTAAAGTCACCCTCACAGAACGTCATCAGATGAGCCGAGTAAAAGTCCTTGATGTCAAGAGCATCAGTCACGGCACTACTCGCTGCGTCGATGGCATCATTTCCAACATCCTGAAGTGCATCTTTTCCCTTGTCGAACAAGCCGCCTAGGCCGCCCCTATCAGATGATTCTGAGTCGCCCAAGAGGTTTAAGCCCTGGCCAACTTGGGAGGTATTTAACTATTAAGAATCAGCCCTGCCTTGTTGAGAGTACTTGTCATCGTTATTTGCCACGCACTCTCAATAATTCGACTGATGGAAGAATTTTCGGGGAGTCGCCTGCGAACAGCACCAACATGGACAATATAAAGGCGACGGTGGCGCATGCCAAGGGAAGAATTGCTGTTGCACGCAACATGGCTGTCTTGCTGTGAACTAGTTTCTAGGATCGATTATGTTAGAGACAAAGGAAAGACGACTGAGGATTAAGCCAGAAGACCAGGGAGTGGACCAGCACTCGCAACCTAGCCGGCTAAATTGAAATGACGGGGGCACAAAGTGAAGGGAAGGGAAGGAAACTCAGTCGCCACATCGAGAGGAGAATCGGAAATATATGGCAGCATGATAGATGTCGAATGGCCGAGGCTAAGCTGAATTCCAAACCTCATTGTTTAGAGTTGAAGCACGTCTCATGTCAGAAATCTGCTGGAATTGATGCTCTGTTTGAGACGCCCCTTTAATCTTGGCAGGGCTAGTTAGTGGAAGAGCCGTTTGACCTAGGTGGCCCCTGAAAACAGTCGCCAGGTTTGCATGCCCTGAGAGAGAAGAAACCTTATGCAGTTCAGTTTGAATGAAATGCTCTAGGAGAGAGCGCTGTAGGCATAACAATTTCAACGGATATCCGGACAGCTGTGATTAGAAATTGCTAGTGTTAAGAAGTATTGCGAACGTACAGAGTAGGGCGGCTCAGATGTGTTGAAGTGTGAGGGGCTCGTTTGGCCAGTTTTCGTTGGCTACTCTGTGGCGGTTGTCTTACGATTTAATTGGTCAACCCTCAGGGGGATTTCGGAGAGAATTCTGCCGTATGCGTAAAGCCAACCTGCAAATATTTACCTACGCTACTTCTACTTAATAGGAGCACCGTTCAACAATAAGGCTCATGCTTCACATCCTGCACTCTGAACCACGTTAGAGAGCATGGAAATGAGCGGAACTTTGATTTTAGCCTTCAAGTGCCATCCTGGTGCTAGGTCGAAGCAGTGAGCCTGAAAGTGCAAAGAGTTGACACCTTTCAAGGCAGACAACGAGGAAAGACGCCTCAGAACGTACTCGAGGAATTGGCAGCGGCAAACGATGCCCTCATTTTCAGGCTGAAGATGGAATGAGACAAGCATTGGCGCGGATTGATGCTCTCTTACGGAGTATCTGCTACTAGGAAATACATATGTGGAGCATGACCTGCCAAGCTGCCAGAAGTATCAGGTATGACGCTACGTTATTGGAGCTGACTCAACTGACGAGGTATCTGGATAGAGATATGGGGTGTTTGAACAGTCACATTGTGGAACAGAGCTGACACTGTAGCAGGCAACGAGTTCGCTTTCGTCCCACCAAGTAATCCGCTATCCAGCCGTCGAGGTACAGTTTCGTACGTTTGTAATGTGCGCTTCGTAGGACGTAAATTAACCGAAATTTTCGCCTCCTGACGAGGTTCCTTACGGCTAGAAAGAGAGCTCACAGCTAGGGCCGCATGGGGATAACTACTATGGAAATGCCTAATAAAGGCATCTATTGCCATCCGCTGTAATGAAGTTATGCTCATTTTGCTCCTGCGGAGTTCAGTATGTCCAAAATATCCATATTGGGCTTATTTTGCTTACTACTAATGTTTTGACGCGTTGTGGACCCTGATGGAGCGCCCTGGCCTCCTTTGCATCCTCTTCTGCGTTTCTGTTCGTTGATAAAAATTCTTGGCGGACTCCTTATTTTGTACATTTGACTCTAGGTCCTTGTACAAGTGTCTTGTAGGAGTAAGTTATTTAAGATTTGACAGCTAAAATTGTGTGTTACAGAGGAATGATTCTTACGAACGGTAATCTTAACCCTGCCGCTATGAGACTGGTCGACACCAGCACATGGTAGACTCTAGTTAGAGTCTACTAAGTGTTACTCAAGTACTTACCGGGAGAGAAGGGCTCTGAAAATGGTGCGGTATTAGACCTTGGTAATTTAACAGACGTTTTATTATTCTAAGGATTATAGGGAGGCTCATATAACCATAAGTTAGTTATTATTATTATTCTTACACCTATCGAGCCATTGAGCTCATGAGGGAGTGAACAAAAGCTATGTACAGGATAAACCCTCTGGGGAAGAAAACCTGTAAGCCCTCTGTATCTGTTGTTTGTGTCAGATACCAGGTAGACGTGTCTTCACGAAAGGTTCCGAGCTCTTTCATCTTAATTCTACTCCCTTATGTCCCCTACAGGGAGAAGCGAGTAGATGGGAGCATTCCAGAGTGTTGCCTTTGTGATGTTGTGGGTCAGTTGGTGTTCGTAGGCTGCTGGCGCGTATTGGTGTGTAATTGATCGTAACTCCGCTTGCTTGTGCGTAGGAGTTGTGTGCTTGAGTTGGTGCTGGCCAGCCTCCTTTTGTGTGTAGTCATTTCCAACCTCGAGATAGTCCCGGAAAGATGAAGTCGCCCGGATTCGTAAAGTGTCGTAGTTTGTCGTGGGGTCTGGTATCGGTGTAGAGGATCTCGTCCCTGCGTTTGAGTTACTGGCCGATGTGTTGAACTAATCGTGATACTAATTGTTTGGTATCTTCTGTTCGTAATCGAACTTCTCCCAAAACTTATTACAGTAATCCTTGTTCCCCCTCCTCTTCCTTATACCAGATTGTGTTATGTTGTAAAGGGTCGGTATCATTCGCAACCGCATGACTCTTATTGTTAATGATTTTTTTCTCCTTATAACCTGTTTTTGTGTGATGTTCGGCCTTGTAATGTTCTGTCTTTTTTTGTAACTTGTTATAGTTGCCTGCAGGTGTTGATTAACGCGTTATTAGCGCGTTCAAAAGGTGGAAGGGGGCAGTACTATCTAGATTAACCCTTCGGATGGGTTGATAGGCATTATGAAATCATAGTACTACCGCTTTTTGTTTATAAGAGATTACACACATCTGTAATTATGTTCTCCTGCTTGTGGTCTTATAACAGGTCGCAAATCCTTAATAAAACTATTTCCACAGATTATAATTCGGTCCTATCAGATCTAATCTGTTTCTATAAAGTTACGGCCGCTTGTGAGCACCTGTGACACATTCGATGTATGGCTCAACTAAGGCCTCACGGCTCACCAAATAGCTTCCGGCACAAATGCAGCATTTGTAGATATGCTACTGCAACCTTCCGCAGAGACTCGTAGCTCACGCTTTATCCGGTCGTGGGAGCTCACGCCTGCGGCTTTTGCCCAATAGAGTTCTTTCGCAATTAATCAGTCGTGATGCCACTGAGGAGGCACCATCCGCAACGCGTCGTGACCGCTCGCAAGCGGGAGGACTCATCTCAGCTTCTCTCATAGAGTCCACTCTCTATGAGATACTGATAGGAAGCACCGCGTGAAGGTGTGAGTCCATCGCTCCCCCCATAAGTTAGTTATAATTTGACTATTGTTTTTCGAAAATAACGTCTGAAAGAACAAATTTTATTATATTTCAGGTGTTTAAATGCATAATTATATGTATACTAGGTCATGCCACGTTTAGGCCGAAACTAAGCACATATTGATGGTAGTTTAGGCATAGTTTCCAGAGGGCCTTCTCCTGCTAGGTAGTAGTACTACATAGTAAGTCCCCGCTCTCTTCAGCTTGGCACGATTACCCTTCCGGTTGATGGTTCGTGCCTTGAGAATGATCAGCACTCCAACGGAAGTCCGTTACGAAGTCCCAACATACTCGAGTAACTTTCTTCGATCAAGCTATCATACTGTACGCGAATCTGTCCTACGCTTCAAGGCTTAATATGCACCCGCCAGCTTTAGGCTTGCGCGTACTTATCGTGAAAAGCAGCTTCGGATTGGAGAAACCCCACCTCGTCCTCACTGCTCTACCACCTTGTTCCATGAGCATGGTAGGTCACACCCCATTTATTACAGATCCTGCTCGGTTGTCCAACGTAAGCTTCTGGTAGCGTCAACTCAAAGCCGCATGGTAACGTCATCCTTACTCGTTGACATCGGAACCAACAACCTTGCCAACTGTCAGAGCTCCCTTCTCACTATGTTTTCCATGCGGCTAACCTACTCGAGTAGCAGCTGCTGCAGTTTTACTCTCACATTCTCACATTAGGAGTCGACAGCAGCGAGGATCCGTCCACTACCAAGGACCTTAGTCAACCAGGAGCTCATCCAAGGCAGTCGTGATTGGTCGGACCTTGGGTTTCCGTAAGTGACAGATCCTGGCTCAAGCACTGAAGGACTTCTTGAATACCCCGGCAGTTGCCATTTGGGAAGCTCAGTCTGCTGAGACATTGTGTACGTGTTGAGGCGCGGTGGATTGACGCAACTGTGCGCCAATTCCTACCGGCCCACTTTCCACCTCTTCTTGGACAAGGATGACAGAAACCTTGCTGGTGCCAATCTGAAATGGTGGCAAATCGTGAAGAGCATTCCGTGAGAGCCGTGTTGACGAAAATGTGGTACATGTCATGGAGGCTGCCTCTCTGCTTTGGTGAGGTCATCAAGGCCCTGTCTTATCCCCGTCACCCGGTATATTGTATAAGTGCTCCGATTCCTCCCCTTACCTTGTCCTGTAGTTGAAGCGCTTTTGGTCCTGCTATCCCTCACCCAATATGCCTTCTTATTTTCAAGCTGCTGGCCTCTTGGCTCTTACAGCCTCTGCTTTTGCAGCACCAGCCCCTCAAGCCACAACCGATGCGCCGGCAGCGACCGCAACTGCTGCACCAGCACCGCCTGTTGTGAGCAGCCAGGTTACGGGTCCTACTTCTCACGGCCCGTATAGTGGCCAGCCAACTACGACCGGTGCTCTATCGAACACTGTTCTGGCAGCCTCCATCCCAGCGCTTCCACCAAACCCTACAGCAACGACCTACCTTGCAAATGGCGAACTTCAAGACCCTCAGCCAGCTCCGTATACACCGGCCGGGGGGCTTGGCACCAATGGGACCGAGCCTGTTTACAATGTCAAGAGCGATTTTGATTATCAGTCATTTGCGCTCGCTTTGTATCAGGAGTGGATTGAGCTCGATCTCTTCCACCATGGTCTTGCTACATTCTCTGCCGAAGAGTTCGAGGCCGCTGGCTTGACTGCTGAAGATCGCTACTTAATCCAGTTCATGGCGGACCAAGAAGTTGGTCACTCTACACTCCTCACCAATATTATTGGCGAGAGTGCTCCCGTTCAGTGCACATACAACTATCCATTTACCACTGTGCGCGAATTCCTCGACTTCTGCCAGAAGTTGACGCGTTTTGGAGAGTCCGGCGTGTATGGTTTCCTAGAACATCTCGACTCTCGCGAGTCTGCCACGCTTTTGCTCCAATCCATCACTACCGAGGCTAGGCAGCAACTTATCTTCCGTCAGTTCGATGGCATCTTCCCCATGCCAGTTTGGTTTGAAGTTGGGGTGCCTCAGTCATGGGCCTGGACTTTGCTTGCACCATACATCTCGGAATGTCCGGCCAATCAAACTCGCCTGGCATGGCAGAACTTTCCAGCTCTCGCAATCCTGAATCAGCCAAACCCAGCCCGTCTCGATGCCCGTCAGACTGGTATCAACGAGACCATTGACACTGGTATGAACACTTTAAACTCGACTGTGGTCCCTCCCGAGGAGGCCTGCTTTGATGCGGATGATGAGCTCGCGGACTGCAATCCTCGCATTAGTCAAAACCGCACGATTCCCTTGTCGTACCCAGGTCGTCAGGTCTATTTTTCTTGGGAAACACCAGGAAGGCCAGTAGGGCCGAACAACAGTTACATCACATCGACCACCGCTGGCGCTCCAAAATTCGTTCTGTGGGCCAGTCAATTGAACGTGACTTATTCGCCGTTGACCAACGTGTCTGGCACCACTGGCATGACCGTCCAGCCGGATGTATCAACATTTGAGGGAGATCCAGCTGTAAATGGCACTATGTTTGTCGTTCTTACAGATCTCGATCTGTATGTGACGCCATTCAACATTTCCCAGGTCAACCCTCATGTTGTTGCTGGTCCAGCGCTGTATCAGGCCGGTTAGAGTATCGTTCGCTGGCATGGAGAAGCTTGGACAGTGTGTCGCGGGTAGCGAGTAATATGCCTACAGATTGTTGAGGCTCTATGTATATACTACAAAATTAATACAAAATGTATTGAGTCTTCCGTCATATTGTCCGACGTTTGCACTTTTATTTGATGTCTCTGGATTACAATATGATTACATTTATCCGTCAGACCATTCGACTGTTCTCACTTGTTGGAAGGCTCATGAATCCATCTGGCACAACTTCAAAGCCATCTGCGATCCCACAGCGTAGACTGTCACGTAACGCTGGTTGCCGGTGATTTTCTGCTCGGCAGGGGACGTGGGACCTCAATTCTTGCATTCCACAGATGCATGATACTCCGGTAATTACCTAGCCTTCCAGACCATATACTTGGAGTGACCGTCCTGAGGCCGGACCAATTTCTCCCGCCTTCCTTGCTGTCGTTGACATCGAGGCTTTCAACAGCAGACTCACTTCTATTACCGAAGAGAAGAACCTTGGACTCCATGAGCATGTTTCATTCAAGTCTCTCCAAAAAGAAAAACCCCTTTCCCCTTCCTGTACCCCTCCAGAGTCCCCTGCACCGCCTCCTTCAACTGCTCTTCCTTCGTCCCCCGATCCCACAGCAGCTCCTGCACAGGAACATCCTTGAAGCTCCCTTCCCTCATCATGTTTAAGATGTCCTCTACCGTCTGCTGCTTTTCCCTCGCATGCCGGTCACTCCACTTGCTCACCCAGAACCCGCTGAAGGTGATGTTGTTGAAGATAAGCAGCCCGGTAGGCAGCAGGGTGGGTTGTTTCGACATGGCGCCATATGTCACCATTTGAGCGTCTGGACTGAGCAGTTTCGCCAGCGCAGTGGCGTTCTTACCGCCGACGCAGTTCAGGCCGAGTCTGATGGGTTCGCGGCCTGATTTCGTCCATTCGGCGACTTGGTCTTTGAAGCTTCTTTCCATTAAAGTGGATTCCGTGACTACTTTTGTGGCGCCGAGGTCTTCGAGCTCGGACTTTAGAGCTTTCCAGCCGGGGCGTTCGCGGATCACGTTCAGGCTCTTAATGCCCCATTGTTTGGCGAATTGGATGGCTGCGCGACCGACACCGCTGTTCGCGCCGTTTTGGATCAGCCATTCCTCCTTATCACGTAGGCCGAAAGCACTCCAGTCGACGTAATCCTTCACCATGCGGTACGCTGATACCGGGTTGACGCTCACGGTGCCAACCTGCAACGCGCTCAACCCTTCTTTGTTCGGTATCTTCATGACCTCCCCCTCATCGACTTGCATATGCGTCCTCCATGTCCCCATGCCAGTACGTTTCATGATCACCCAGTCTCCCTTCCCCACGGTTTTACATTCCCCACCTGTAGCCAGCACTTCAGCAACCCCTTCATTCCCCCCTACGGCGCTAGGCACACTCGTACCAAGCGCGGTACCGAGAGGTGGTTTGCTCGGGTACGAGCCTTGGATCTGATTCACATCCGCGGGGTTGATGGGCGCAGCCAGCATGCGTAGTGTGATGGATGTTCGGGTGGGAGGTGAGATTGAATAGGTGTGTAGATGGAGTTTATCACGTGGCTCGCCGTGGGTTGAGTAGACCAGCGCTTTGGATTGCATGTAGCCGTAGGTAGAGAGAGGCCGGATAAGCCGGCGGTCGAGGGGGAGAAGCTGTACGGAGGGTTGGAATCGTGTGCTTGTTGTTGGGTGGGGTATGCGAGTGAATCTCGATGCAAGGATGGGCCGAGATGCTGGCGAGAGGGTCTTGGCTGCCATGATGGGCAGTGCTCATGCACTGGCAGTGCTTGAAAGAAGCGCAGGACAAGCGTGACCCTTCACAAAATCGAAGATCCTGTTCATTGAAGCTGCGGAGATGTTGCCAAGACTTGGAGATGCCGCTCAACTGAACTTCAAGTTGGATTGAAGCTCTGCCAGTGTAAGTAGTATAGTTATGTGCGAAATCGAAGTCCTAAAAGATGTGTCCATAATCTTTGGAAAGCTGAGGGTCTTGCCCCACTACGGCGCTTAGAACGTTAAGGACACCCAATAGGCCTTCGGCCGCTTACAGCCTGTAAGTCACCACACCTCCTGTTACACTGTTATGATAGTCATTTGAAACCTCTTCTGCTTTCTATCTTGTGCTTCGATAACTATGCTCCGACATATAAGCGGAGTCTGTCTGTGATCTCGCGAACGGCAGCCTCCGGCACTTGGCGATAGTCACGTGATTGTCGCAGTTTGCCTGCTTGCCAGAACATCTCAAAGCTGCTTCGATGAGGCTGAGCATGATGTAGGAGTCACAGGTTGGGTTATAACAATTCAGCGTTTCTGGCCGTCCTTCGGTCGACCTCTAGTAGATGGTACAGTTGTGTGAGAATTTATAAGTTACGGAGATTGCAATTTACTGAGCACCTTTCACGGACCTAACACAATTGCCAACGACGATGCAGCAATGCGACTCTTGAGATGGAGCAGTCAGAACGAGCTCAGCCTGACCGATGATCTAGACAAGAACATTCCTCCCTATGCGATCCTCTCCCACACCTGGGGTTTAGACCGCAACGAAGTCACCTTCGCCGATATACAGAAGAGTCAAGGTCAAAGCAAGGCGGGATATGCGAAGATTCGATTTTGTGGAGAACAAGCGAGAAAAGACGGGATCGAGTACTTCTGGGTGGATACATGTTGTATCAACAAAGACAACCACGTTGAGCTGTCGAAAGCCATCACATTGATGTTTAGTTGGTATCGTGATGCGAAAAAGTGCTATGTCTATCTTTCCGATGTATCAGTGCGTAAGGGTGACAACATCGGTGAAGTGCAGAGCATGTGGGAATCAAGCTTGCGAATCAGCCGATGGTTTACACGAGGCTGGACGCTGCAAGAGCTTCTGGCCCCTGCTATTGTCGAATTCTTCTCGCAGGAAGAAGACTTCATAGGGACAAAGCAGACGCTGGCACAGCTGATCCACGAGGTCACGACCCTTCCTCTCGCTGCTCTGTGTGGCACACCTCTCGCTCAATTTCCGATCGACGAAAAAATACGTTGGACGAAAAAGCGCCAGACTAGGGAGACAGAGGACGGAGCATATTGTCTACTCGGAATTTTCAACGTGTTTATGCCGCTTATCTATGGCGAGGGCGACAATGCGTTCCGCCGGCTCAAGGAGGAGATTAACAAGCAGTGTGGCAGTAATATCGCTGGCCGTCTTGGTGTTATTGATGAGGTCAGATCACTGGGATTGTGCCGGAGACTGGCGCCGCTCAATGATGTCGATGACTTCATTGGGCGAGCCGCCGACGTCGGTCAGACGGCACAAGTTTCACGATTAGGCGAGCCGAGGCCTGCAAAACGTGTCAGGACATCGTATGATGTGAACGTCTCGGGGCCGAGTAACAGTCGTTCGTATGGCAACACAACTATATCGCATATGGAAATCATGGGTGGCCACATCCAGCAGTCAGGTCAGGGTTCTGAACACAATTCAATGATGATCAGCGAAGACAAGTACAATTTCCTCCTCAAGTCCCTCCTATTCGATCGAATCGACTTTCGTGTCAACAACGTCAAGAAAGCACTGTTGTCAACCTGCCAGTGGCTCTTTCGTCATCCGCATTTTCGGACATGGTATGAAAATGGCTGCTTAGCTCAACACAGCGGCTTTCTGTGGATCAAGGGCAAACCTGGCTGCGGCAAGTCGACACTCATGAAGACTCTTTTTGAATGGCTTCGTAGGCGAAAGAGCAAGGACCGTGTCCAGCAAACCATCGTCCCTTACTTCTTCAATGCCCGAGCTTCGGCTTCTCTTGAGAAGTCAAGTTTAGGTTTGTACCGTACAGTTGTGCATCACCTTCTGTCTTCGTATCCAAGCATCCGAACTCTATTTGCAGAAAAATTTGCTTTAAAAGACCCAGGACAATTGGGGGAGAACTGGTCTGTGGAAGAACTGCAAGAATTTCTCTATGATACTATCGAGTCGAACGAGTCGTCCGGACTGTGCCTGTTGATCGACGCACTCGACGAGGCCGAGTATGAGGATGATGTCCGACAAATGATCAGCTTTTTACAACAACTTTTTGACCGAGCATTAGCCCTTGGCAGCTCTTGCAAACTCCACATCTGCCTTTCGAGTCGTCACTATCCTCACATCAGCATTACTAGAGGACTTTCCTTGGTGGTCGAAGATCAACTTGAGCACGGTCAGGATATTGATAACTACATCACAAAGGAACTAACGTGCCTTGATGGTCCTGAAAAGGGCGACCTTCGAGCCGAGATTCTGAACAAATCAGCTCGGATCTTTCTTTGGGTCGTCCTTGTCGTGCAGATATTGAACAAACTCGATGACCGTGGAGTACCTTTATCGGAAATGAAAGCTCGGCTCAAAACCATTCCAGCAGGTCTCAACGAGCTATTTCAAGGGATCTTGCTGAAGAGTGACGACGGGATCGAAACCAGCATGCTTTTCTTTCAGTGGATGGTTTTCCGCATGCGTCCACTTCAGCCGGCAGAACTATTTGTTGCAATGGAATACTCTAAATCGCCGGATAACCCGATACGCACTTTACCTACCGAGATCTCTGTGCCTGCGCCCGATCGCCTTGCCAGATTTGTCCTCAACTGTTCACGTGGTCTTGTTGAAGCTGTCGAAGTTGCCCCGTCACAAGCGGCAACGGTCCAATTCATACATGAGACAGTTCGCGAATTCCTACTCAAAGAGAATGGCTTGGCATCAATATCCCGAGCTCTGGCCACGAATGTTGCTGGTATCAGCCATGAAATCCTGCGGATAGCTTGTTTCCGCTGTATATCGATGAATAATATGCCTAAAGAATACGAACATTATTGTGAAGCTAGTCACAAGACCAATGCCTCCTTGGAGACATATTCAGATCTGAAATGCGCCTGAAACTGCCCTTTCTCGACTATGCGATTTCATATCTTTTCGACCACGCTGAACAAGCACAGCAGCATAGTATCTCTCAGCTAGCTTTCTTGAAAAATCAAATCGACGCGAACGGTCTCTGGTTGGACTTACACAGACTCTGGTGGAATGTCCTCGAGCGTTACAAATCTAAGAAGGTCACGTCCGGCGTGACTTTAATCTACTTCATTGCGGAACAACAATACTCAAATTTACTATCAGTATTACTTAGCGTATCGAAACCTGTTAATACAATTTGCGGAACCTACGGGTCTGTCTTACAGGTGTCATCATATCATGGCTCTCGAGAGATCGTACAGATGCTGTTAGATAAGGGCGCCTACGTTAACGCTCAAGGAGGACGCTACGGAAATGCACTACAGGCGGCATCAGGCCGTGGCCACGAGAAGGTGGTGCAGACACTACTGGACCAAGGTGCCGATGTCCACGCTCAAGGAGGACACTACAATAATGCACTATATGCGGCATCAGTATGTGGCCATGAGAAGGTGGTGCAGACACTACTGGACCGAGGTGCTGATGTCAACGCTCGAGGACGCTACAGTAACGCACTACAGGCGGCATTAGAGTGTGGCCACGAGAAGGTGATACGAATACTATATAACTACAAGCAGAGTATAAATCATTAAGCATGTTCAAAAATACACCATCAATTATTCATCTATCTCCGACAGCCATCGCGCGCGTTATAGCTCTTAGCACTAATCGCAATGAGAGCAGTCTTTGAAAGAAGTTCCACTTAGTAATTCTATTAACGTAGATACTAAAGTGTCTTATGTAAATGTTGTATCACAGTAATATAACATATCGATCGTAACGTTAGCATTGCAGCTTGATTGTCATTAGCTACTAGCACATATCTTATGCCTGACTAATCTTTTGTAACAGGCTTTAGCACGCCTCAAACTATTTAACTTTTGCTATTATTTCTACAATTCTATGCTAATCAGTAGTATTCATGGCATGATATCTCTGGAAACAAGGCCTATCTACACATAGAGCAACTTTATAACATTTACAACCTGTCAGAACCTCTTTGTTACAGCACGTGAACACGCCAAGCACAGACAGGCACTACAGAGCTGCCTGGCACTCTGCGAAGGAACTATGACAGACTTAGACAGGACTGGACCCTGAACTGCACACAAGGTCAGACCTGGACAACGTAATGATCAGAGGTGATCAGGGTGAGCACTCATGAGCAATGATCAGAGGTGATCAGGATGAGCACTCATAAGCAATGATTAGAGTGGCCACGAGAAGGTGGTGCAGACACTACTGGACCGAGGTGCTGATGTCAACGCTCAAGGAGGACGCTACGGTAATGCACTATATGCGGCATCAGACTATGGCCACGAGAAGGTGGTGCAGACACTACTGGACCGAGGTGCCGATGTCAACGCTCAAGGAGGATACTATGGTAACGCACTACAGGCGGCATCAGTATATAGCCACGAGAAGGTGGTGCAGACACTACTGGACCGAGGTGCTGATGTTAACACTCAAGGAGGACAGTACGGTAATGCACTACAGGCGGCATTAGAGTGTGGCCACGAGAAGGTGGTACGAATACTACATAACTACAAACAGAGTATGGATCATTAAGCATGTTCAAAAATACACCATCATTTATTCATCTATCTCCGACAGCCATCGCGCGTTTTATAGCTCTTAGCACTAATCGCAATAAGAGCAGTCTTTGAAAGGAGTTCCACTTAGTAATTCTGATAACGTAGATTCTAAGTGTCTTATGTAAATGTTGTAACTATCACAATAATACAACATGTCGATCGTAACGTTAGCATTGCAGCTCGATTGTCTCATGCCTGGCTGATCTGTCGTAACAGGCCTTGGCACGCCTCAAACTATTCAACTTTTGCTATTGTTTCTACCATTCCATGCTAATCAGTAGTATTCATGGCATGAAATCTCTGGAAACAAGGCCTATCTACACATAGAGCAACTCTATAGCATTTACAAACTGTCAGAACCTCCTAAGGCTTCGGAGTTGGTCTAGCATTGCCAGATATTTTCCGCAGAACTCTCCCCTTCCTTCTACACCCCTGAACACCCCCCCCTCTGACTTTGAGGCGATAGGCACACTGCCTCTTCTTCTCTAGGTGTTCCCAGAAATGCTCCGAAGGGTTACCTATGGCTGGAGTATGTAGAATATAGCCTAACATCTCGTTGATGAGTAAGTCAATAAATTGTTGATGGAGTATCTTCCTCTTCTGATGCATCTGAGTTGTCTTCTAGGTTAGATATGCATAGTTTTGGCAAATATCGATGATCAATAAAGAGAAGCCTCCAGCATGAAACCCCATAGTAGTAGGATCAGTCATGATTAGAGTAGTATATGCTTTTGTTGCACTGTCAATTGCTAAGAGTGTTCCCTCGCCAAGTAGAAGCAGAAATAATTGCAGGGGAATAATGATAAGCATTCTAAAAGTCATATGAATAAATGATAGACGTTGCAGGGGCAAAAATTAAGGGATACCCTTGTCAATAGGATGTTGTGCAGTCGTTAGCAATGCTTCAAGCAAGATTAGGGCTAATGCATTATTTTCTCGTATCTTCGACGTTTTTTTGGTCTGGCGACCTGATGACCTGATTTTGAGGCCATAGAATGATCTATCAAAGTTTCAGAGTTGTCCGAGTTATGGTTGTTGAATAAATAAAAAAAAGGAAAGGATGCGTTGGTGGAGATTGAGTAAACAGATCGGCGCCAAGGCCTATGGCGACAGATCAGCCGGGCATGAGATACAGTACTCATATGGGAGGGAAATATAGAAAATCTAAAGACTGTGGGGAGGAGCTAGACTATATTATACCAGTCTCGATAGGACATAGCTGTTGATTGAAGACGAGCTTTGTGAACTATATCACACATACGTGGAAAAATGATCGTCGAAGCTTTGATGA